TAAGGGGGGGGGGGGGGGGGGGGGGGGGGGGGGGAATATCTTTAGAATTCACTACCATTTAAATATCTCGAAAACTGTAACTTTGAGAAAAATTTTGTAAAGTAAATAGAATAAAAATCATATTGAACAGCGAATACTTCTGTTGTCTGTTATTTGTTGTCTGTAGTCCGTTGTCTGTTGTCTGTTTTCTGTTGTCTGTTTTCTGTTTTCTGTTTTCTTTTTTTGTTGTGTGTTGGTTGTGTATGTTTTCTATGTCTGTTTTCTGTGTCTGTTTTCTGTACCAGTTTTCTGTGTCTAATGTCTATTCTCTAGTGTCTGTTGTCTTTATTTTGTTGTCTATATTTTGTTGTCTATTTTTTGTTGTCTGTTTTCTGTGTCTTATGTCTATTGTCTATTGTCTGTTGTCTATTTATGTTGGCTGTTTTCTGTGTCTTATGTCTATTGTCTATTGTCTGTTTTCTATTCATGTTATCTGATGTCTGTTGCTTGTGTCTAATGTCTGTTGACTGTCCATGAGTAAAAGTATGATTGATGAATGAAAACCTATCACCTCCATAAACCGAAAATGGCTCCAGATGGTCCTAAAACCATAAGAGATAGAGGATCCTAAAAAGGACTCAAATCTAAAAATTTCAATCTGATTTCACGTAGATGGGTTAAACCGGGTATGCAGGGTAGAGATAAACTGAACTAACAAACAGACACTCTTGTGTTTCAATCATAGAACAAATTCCAAGCCCAGTGTGTGGCCTAAATGTAGCACTATATTTATATTGATACAAGCTCACATATGCTTGGATTTATTATAGAACTCAGGCCAAAATAAATAAATAAATGGATGCATAGTAATGAATGATACAAAACCATCATTACACAAAACTATAAATAGCGTGAGCAAGCGCCAAAAATATATTTTAAATTATTTAGACGTAATTTCACAATTTTCCTTTTTAACTTTTACCTTTTTAAAACTGTCTTTTAATTTGAATGTAATACTTCAATCTTTAGTTAATAAGACAGATTAAAAAGTACTATATTTAAACAGATGCTTCAAAAAGCAGTTTATGTCAAAAATTGTTATTATCACATTTTTCAGATGGTGGCTAAATTTGACAGCTCCGGATTCTAAATCTACTCCTAAACCTCAACCTCAACCTGAAACTGATCCTAAGCCTGATCCCGATCCTGAACTCAAATCTAATGCTAAACTGAAACCTAGAGTATAGATATTTAAAAGGAATTCGAAGACTACAAGTGATTATAAAAGATTGTTGTGTTAACCTGTGTTTTCTATATGAAACCTTGACATGATAAAAATATTGTCGACTGTGAACAGTGAACACCTGACCTAAAATGTGTAAATAAAGTTTGATTAATTGCTTAATTGATTAAAATATAAATAAACAAGTGAAAAAGACGAGTAAAGAATGAACAATAAAATGAAAACAATGGTATGAAGATCTTAAAGTAGGCTTTTGAATATAGCAGGCTGAGCTAATTAGCTCTTTAGCTGTCAAACTATCTAGATATCATATCAAGCTACCTAGATCTCAAGCTATCTAGCTGCCTATATCTCAAACTATCTATCTGCCTAGATCTCAAGCTATCTAGCTGCCTAAATCTCAAGCTATCTAGCTGCCTAGATCTCAAACTATCTAGCTGCCTATCTTCTAATGGTATCTAGGTACTTAGCTGTCAAGCATCCTTGTTGTCTAGCAATCTAGATGTCTAGATCTCAAGCTGTCTAGCTGCCTAACTTCCAAGCTGTCTAGCTACCTAGCTGTCAAGCTATTTAGATATCCTACTATCTAGCTGTCTAACCGTATGTACGTCACTATGAACATGAAATCATCCCTGTACAGGTATTGACCCCCCACCCCCTTGGTTATATCTTTTATCTTAAACTTACACTGTACATTGTACAGTGTTTCACAGCACAGCCTTTAGCTATAATAGGATTCATGAAGTGAATTGAGAAAGATTGAAAGGGTTCTGTTAAGCTAATCCCCAAGTAACAGCGTTGGTGTTGAATTCTGTCAAGAAGGATTTGATTTGAACAAAGCAAATTTAACGTATACCGAGCCAATCATTAATATAAAAATCCATTTTAAATATAAACTAGAAATAAACGCATCTTACATCTTTGCTGGATTAACGTGATGGAAATTTATTTATACTGACTCCATTACGCAGCTGCAATATGCACTTTAATTATATCCATGCAGTTAATAAAAAAGTTGAGACACACTTTAATTCTAAACTGAAATATGAGAGTCATTAACAAGTCTAGACTTTATTAGTTTAATTCATCTCTGTCATTGAATTCATCATATTTTTCTTTCCTCATATTATACAATGTCTATCTGTATTTATTAATCTCTAAAGTAACGATTTCGATTTAATATTCTAATCGATTTACAAATGTGCAAAATGTTTTAATAAAATCCACGAAATTTTACTAGAAACCCGGTTTTTGAAAAATTTCTTTTTTAGTGCATAAAAACACCGATAGGGACCCCCACAGAGGTTTCCAAGCCTTTAAACAATTTTTAGCAATTTTTTGATTACCTACAGGGCTGATAGTTTATAGTAAAACTGCGTATACTCAAGTATATTGACCTGATAAGTCTGATATTTGTCCTTTTTCATTGGTTCATTGGCCACATTTGATCTTAGTTCTATCAAAATTCACGAAGATTTAAGATTTAACCATTCGGGTACGAAAATGGTAGACTACATTTTTGAAATCCCAAGACTATTTTTATCTATTCTAACCCGCGCGCGCTTGTACTAATTACCTCAAAAATAAACAATATAGTAACCAATTGAATATATAAAAACTAAATGCTTGTTTTGAACAGAAAGCTTTCAAAAGAAGTTTTAATATATGTTAAAAACTTTTTTTTCAAAAGTTTCAAAATTATTATTTAAGATTTGCCATAAAGAAAGATGGCAAATTTTCGGTGGTAAAACTATATGAATTTTTTAGCTTTAAAACAGATTGGTTTATTCCTTAATCAATAACGTATCTAAACCATGCATGTGCAATTTGCAACAATGCAGTTTAAAAAATCTAAACAAGTTTAGATCACGAACCTACTTTTATGCAATTTAGAACGTTTTTTTTAACTTATAAAATAAATGCATCAGACACACATGGCAACTATTAGATTAATTGATATTGAAGATTCAAAATTTATGTTTTACGCCTGTCATTGAAGTCTTTTGTAAGGGACTGAACACGAAGTTTCTAGAGAGTTTTCATACTTAAATCAAGAGTGGCATGTCTGATTTACAATGAATGAGATATCCTTTTCTTTAACTAATAATTAATTTGTTTCAACTCCGTAAACGAGATTCCAGCATTTTTGTTTCAGTAACACGGCTATTTCTTTCACTGTTGATTAGATATAAATGCCCCTTTTGAAATGAAAGGTCAATTGAAATAAAGTCCTTTAAACTTTATTTTATTTCAGGATGTTGTTGTTGTTGTTGTTGTTTGTGTGTACTGCAGTTGCTGGGGAGCAAGTTCAATGTAACAAACAACACTATAGGAATATAATAGGCGGACAAAACCTTATAAAGTATAAAGTATAAAGTATAAAGTATAAAATATAAAGTATAAAGTATAAAGTATAAAGTATAAAGTATAAAGTATAAAAAGTATAAAATATAAAATATAAATTATAAAGTATAAACCACACCTTCTGAATTTTTACAGTTTGCAGCTTATTTTTAACATTGTCATTAAAAACTTGCATAATAATTCAAGTGTAACTCTTCATTTTTTCTTTATCAGATTCAGAGGCTACAACTTTTTAAGAAAAGATCGAGTTAAATTCATTCTCTCATCGATTTAGCAAGCTCTAATTTCTCAATTCCAAGAACTTAATCCATTTATATTTAATACTCACTTTTTCACATTTTTTTGGAACTGCTTTTAGCGCCACGACTCGTTCGTTAGAACATTAGCAGTAGTTCAACTATTCAAAACCTAGTTCAACTACTTCTCTCCTTTTATTAATTTTAACCTTTTTTATCGGAGAAACAAATGTGATTTCACATACAATCCCATTTTTCAATTTTTAAAAAACAAATATTTTTAAAACTAAAAAGTAATACATTTTTTATTGTTAAATCAATTTAGTCAACACTCAACAAATAACGTCACAAATGTATTTTATTTATTTTTATGGTGACACTAAAACCTTTCTAAAACATCAATATTTATTTGTTTTCTTATTTTTTACAAAAAATATACCTAAAATAGAATTCCCAATTAGAATATATAAAACAGGTTTCAAGCTTTACACATACTTTTTACATTTTCTTTACAATTAGTTAGTGTTAGCACATAATAGGGATGGATGGGGATAGATGGAAATTTTTCCTAAATTGACATGCACAGACACACACTTCAATACAACAGTAAAGCATTCACACCGTCACATCGTGTTTGCTAATCAACATATCTGGACATTTACGGAATTGGGAGAATTTGCTCCGGAAGTTGGATTTTAACTTTGCAAAATGCTAAAATTGTGTAAATAAACAAATTTAAATATTTCGCCAAATATTCAAAATATAAGATTGCCGATTAAAGTAAAGGAAGAAACATTGAGCACAACATCAACAAAACAATTTGGAATATGATTAATTTAATTTCGTGAGATGTGATCATGTAACAATAAGCTTACGATATTTGGTCGAAAAAAATCTGAATAACTCACTTCCACGTTTAGCATCAGATAAAATACTCGATCACCAAGCTAAATGATAGGCAAAAATTGTATTATAACGGCAAAGACTGGCCGAACAAAAGAAGATCTTATAATTATTTTGCCGCATTTATAAATTATTAATACTTGAATTTAAATTTTTTGAAGTTTAAATCGAAGAAAGCTTTTTTATCGCTAAAATCTGATTCCAGGTATTTTTTCCATTATTCTAAGTAACTCCTATAGTTTTTACATGTCACCTGAAAGCAAAAATTTAGCATATAACAAATTTAAATTCAATACAATTTTACTACATCTTGTGTTATTGACAGGTATTATTGGGAAAAAAGTTTATTCTAAACTGATAAAAATAGCCATTGCGCTATTTCAAGACATTTTCAACTTTCTCAAGATTTCTCAAGATGTCTCAAGATGTCTCAAGAATAAAATTGAATTTCTTGATTTCAAGAGTGTAAGCTCAACACTACACCCACATGTAAAGTTTAGTTCTTGAGTAATTACCCCCCCCCCCCTCCATACAAAAAATTGTGTATACGTATAAATGATTTTTTAAAGTTTTGGACGTGTAAAGTGTATTGCTAATAAAGCTACTTCTCAAGTGCAATTTTACCTAACTAATAGAGAAGTATTGAAATTATCTGTATATACAGGGTGTCCCACATCATATTAGATCGTTAATCGGTCAAAATTACGATTTTCGGGACTAATCAGAAAATTTAATAAGAATGAACTATTTTGAAAACTTGAATAAGGCTAATATAAGAATTTTCTTACAGAAAACGCTAGGTTTTTTTTTAGTATTATGGGTTTAATTTGGCGTTTAAACTTGGAGATAGTCTAATATAATATGGGAAGCTCGGTAGTTCAACTACCCTTAGATATTCATAAATTCCAACCTCATCAAGTTTAACAGAAAATAATAATTAAAATAAAAGCGTTTTCAGAATTATTTCATTCTTATTTTTTTAATTTATCAATTAGAACTTTTATTATATTCTATTCCAGTGTTATCAAACGGAAATCAAGAATAAGTATTTTATACATTTACAAAACCGATTAAATCAAATAATGTAATTTAAAAAAACAGAAAGGAAAGAGCACAAATATGTAAACTTTTAAGTATTAAATAAACAAAAAGTATAAAATGTCCCCCCCCCCCTTCCTAGATTTTGCAGAGTATTAAGAAGAATGGCTTTGATGACCTTCATTAGTGCGTAAGATCAGATAAAAATGTTGAAATGCTGGAGGAATTGATAGAATTCGTAGAGAAGCAAGATACAGGGTGCAGATTAAAAAAAATATATTTTTAGCATCTCATCTACACATTTGCGCAGACATACAGAATACCAGGTTTTCTCACACAAAATAACAAATTCTAAAATCTACCATGAATCAAGTAAAACTACCGACATCGCAGGGGATGTTAGTTCCAAAACTAACACTTGGCCCATTTTTAACACTGAGTGTTAGAAATGGGCCAAATCTGCAAAGTTATCTTTTTCAAGAGTATATATCTCTAAATCCAAGTCGAGTAGAACAAAATTCACCATATATTTATAAAAAATGGATAAAACTATATTTTGAAACAATAAATGTCAATTGTCAACAAATAATTAGGTGTGAGAATTAGTTTTAATGATTCTTGATTTCATTTTCGAACATATCCCTACTTTGAAACAATTACCGGATTTCAGCTCATGTCGCGTTTTTGGAACATATCCTGGTTTTGAGACAATTACCGGATTTACCAGTCTTTCAATTTGTGCCCATTTCTAACACTCAGTGTTAAAAACGGGCCAAGTGTAAGGTTTGGAACAAATATATCTAAATATATATTTTGTGTCATTTTATCTTTCATTCAAAATCCGTCGAAGATATCGTGCCACTACTTTGTTTTCTTTATTATTCAAAGCAGCATAATATAGAAAATACGAGAAATCTTTATTTAAGGGGTGAAAAATAGTTTCAAAGAGAATTTAAATTAAATTAACCAATCCTTACGTTAATTATTAGTCAACACATTTAAAATTCCAAGTATTCTGGTTTAGCCCTGTCTTCCTATCTACAGTCCCAATCTTAACTCTAGTTTGTATCAAGCGTATAAAAATGTTGTGGTACTAAAACTACAATGTCGTATCATATACATAAATAGTAGTTGTAAAATAATCAAAGTTATAGTTGTATAACTCAACTTATACCTGAGGCATAGCCAGAGGGGGGCAATGGGGGCTTAGCCCCCCCCCCTGGACCAGTGAAATCTAGATGACAGTACAGCGTAAATTGTCGATACAAGTTGTACACTAAATAATTTTCAATTCTGGTAAAAACCTAAATAAGAGGATTTCATTTTATAATTTAATTACATAGAAGCATGTACATTGTACATTGTACATTGTACATTGTACATTGTACATTGTACATTGTACATTGTACATTGTACATTGTACATTGTACATTGTACATTGTACATTACACATTATACATTGTACATTGTACATTGTACAAAGTCCTGTACGCAAAAATTAAAAAACTTGAATTGCCGAGTGGATAATTGAAAATGTTTCTACGAGTTGAAAAATGAAGGATAATCCATCAATTCTAGAATATAACACTAGAACTTTGACGGAGGATATTTACAAGATTTCACCTATTATTCAACTGTGCCCACCATCAGGGCCGTGGGGGGGGGGGGAGTGGGGCAGAGGGTAGGGTTAACAGAATTCAATTCCCATAATCATGCACTCATACAGAATATAATTATCATATTGGAAAATTATTTTGTGTCTTTAGCTTTAAATACTTAATGTTCATGCACATTGCACAACTTGAATAGAAAAAAATTACAAGAATATTTTGCTTAAGAAAAAGATGAAACCTTTGGTGAAAGCTTTGCCCGTTGGTAGATCTTTCTACGAAGAAAGAATGAGCTTAGCTTATTGTGTTCATCAAAAGTTTTCAGCGCCGGACAATCAAAAACACAAAGAGATTGAATTTAACTCGTTGTATTCATTAAAGCTCTGTGGCCGAATTTAAAGAATTTGAGCGGCGGTTTAAATTTAAGCCGCGTCTTAAATATGGTTGGTTCCACTTAAAATTTTATCAAATGTTTCAAGATTTAAGCCGGCGCTTAATTTAAACCGGGTTTTGGCGGATTTAAGCCGCGGCTCAAATTCTTTAAATTCGGCCTCTGGACAATGAAGAGAGGGAGTGAATGAGTTAAACTCAATTTTTCTATGATAAGTTCCCTGCTTAAAGCAATAAAGCGTGTAGTAAATTAGTGAATTCCTTAATAATGAAGGAGTAAAAAATGTACATAAAAACAAGTTTACATTTGTCAAAAGTCTTAATTTTACGGTCAAGTTAGTTTTTAAGAATTTCTTTTCATATTTGAAATTAAAGTTAATTCTAAGTGTTAGGTTTGATTAAGAAAAAAGAGAACTCTGATTTCATCATTTTAAAGAAAAAATATAATTTTGTATTGTATCTTTCTATCTATTTGTAAACTATTATATACCTGTAGTTCTGCGTTGACCTCCTCAGCTAACTGTCAGCCTAGGCTAAAGGTTATCAGGTGAGAGATTATATAGCTAGACATATACTTAGATAACTGTCTAACTATCTAACTATCTAACTATATAACTATCTAGCTATCTGACTATTTAACTATCTTACTATTTGAATATCTAACTATCTAACTGTCTAATTATCTAACTATCTAACTATTTAACTATCTGGCTATCTAACTATCTAGTTATCTAACTATCTTACTATTTAACTATTTAACTATCTAACAATCTAACTATCTAACTGTCTAACTATCTAGTTATCTAACTATCTAGTTATTTAACTATCTAACTATATAACTATCTAACTATTTAACTATCTAACTATATAACTATCTAGCTATCTAACTATTTCACTATCTTACTATTTAAATATCTTACTATCTAACTGTCTAACTATCTAACTATCTAACTATTTAACTATCTATCTATCTAACTGTCTAACTATCTAGTTATCTAACTATCTGACTATTTAACTATCTAACTATCTAACTAACTAGTTTAATACCTATTTTTCTAACTATCTGGATATAGAGCTAAAAAAACTTGAAAAAGTTAGAATTTTTTTTTAAAAACAACATTCCCATTGTTCAAATTCAAAATCAAAACTAAAGGCAATTCAGCCATTATACACTCTTGTATGCCAAGTCCATTAGCGCCTGATCCAACCAGGGTTCAGTCATGTGTTTGTTGTCTATTCTGAACCAATAGAAATAGTATGGCGGTAACATCTATCTTTCTATCTATCTCATTATCCAATTATGAATCCTTCAATCGGCGCTATCAGTAAATGTAAATATTTACTTCTACTGAAACTATAGTGTATATGCTTTATACTAAATAAATGGAATTACCAGTCTTCTGTATTTTGTTTAAAATTTTGCTATTTCTCCGCCTATCTAGACTTATATCTGTATAAATACATATTTTGCGTGTGAGAATCTGCAAGCCCAAATATCTACCTATATCTTTAAATATTATATATATAAAGTGTCTTAAACGTATACTTATCTTCTACACTAGATGTTATCAGTGGACATTATATTGGATTTTTTCTTGCTGGGTCATTTGTTACTTTCAACTCCTACAGATGAGCAGATATAGTATCAGAATTCTATCCAATAAATACTCTTCAAATACAACACAATTATTCAACAAAATTTTATCGATTCTGTGATTGTGGATTGTATAATATAATTCTAATGTGAAACTGTTTAAATTCGAACACAAAAGAATTTAAAACAGTTTTATATAAATAAATTCCTATAGATTTATGATTATATTATTCTGGGAACCCTACTTTACCTAGAAGTTTTCCCTCTGGAAGTCAACCACTGAGAACTTTTAAAACAAGCTAAAAAACATTCCCGTAGTTCTACCGAGTTCCCCAAATAAAATTTGAAACAAATCGGTCAAGGGACTCCTGAGTTATGATCGGACATCCAGACAAACAGAGATTACAAATAAAAATTCATAAATAATATCATCTTAATTAAGTAGAAAAATGTGGACAACAAAAAAGTAGAAGAAATAGAAGTAAATACACCGAGTAAAAAAAGCTGGAAAAGAAAAAGGGGGAGCGAAATTTTTTTTAAAATAAAAAAATGAAATTGTGGAAAAGTGGAAGGCATGGAAAAAAACGAAGAAACAGAAAAAAGTAAAGAGGAAGAAAACCTCTAGACTATAAATGCACTTGGTTTCGAAACCTTACTTGATAAACCTGTATAGCATAATCTCCCTCCCCCCGNTTGTCTCCAAATGCCGAATCCAGTTTTAAAATGGCCTCTATCGGAACTTTTTGCATTTGTAACTAGAAAGAGAGTAAATTGTTTTGCTTGAATCCGGAATCTGGAATCTGGAATCTGGAATCTAGAATCTGGAATCTAGAATCTGGAATCTGGAATCTGGAATCTAGAATCTGGAATCTGGAATCTGGAATCTAGAATCTGAATTCTGGAATCTTGGAATCTGGAACATTCAGGAAAAACAAAATACTTCCAGGAAATTTAAAGATCAAAAGAAATGGTTTCAATGTTTCAACTTTTTAATGTTTAAACTATCATCAAACAATTGAAGTTTTTGTGAAATTTTAAACCATGTAAAACAAAACAAAAAATAAAAATTGAAATATATAGGTCAGATCAACAATCTTTACAGAAATCTGTACAAGCAGCTTAATCGTATACAAACAATTAATAGACACAAACATGCTGCACAGACTCTCATGAAAAAAATTAGAACTTTGAAATATTTAAGACAATGGAGCAAACGATCTCTGAAAATATCAAACAGTTACCTAAGCAATTCAAAAAACATTTTTTTCAACACAGTATCTAAACAGTCAACCAGCGAAAATCAAAACAACTGTTCAAAGAAAACAATTAACAATTAAGCAACGTTAAAAAATCAAGCAAACAGCAAATAAAGTCTAAAAAACAAATATACGAACAAATATTTTGTCCTGTACATAATAAATACAAGCATGCAAAAAGTAATTAAAAATCAAATCAAAGAATCAAACAAACAAACACTCAATGACACAAACTTGTAAAACCTCAATGAACAATCTAAAAAGCCCAATCTCATTTTTATCATAACATGAAATCACAAACCCACTAATTAAAGGGACTGTAAAGGAGAAATGAAAGGGGGTATAGGTTGAAACCTGAGAATCTCAGGCGTTATACAATACATATAAAACATCTATCTGATATTCCTTTCTCGAGAAATTGATATAAAACTGTTTTCAGATTTGTTGCGTATTTGTTTAATATGATCTGTCTAATACTACAACTTTTATACAAAATTGCATATATATGAATTTTGGTATAAAGAAATTGAGTTCTTACCACAAGCTCTGATTTTCTAATCTCTTCATTTTTGTAACCCGATGCTGTAAACCTTAGATATTTCAAACTATAAATTCTTATAGATCAAGCAATCGAAGTTTGATCAGGTTGCAAAGATATTGGGATCAGTTTTCATCCTATACCCCCTTTCATTTTTCCCTTACAGTCCCTTTCAGAAAGAATTTTTAAATTTTTGCGGTTAACCCTTAACAGTTCTTTCCGTTCCTTCTTGTTGTCTGTTTAAATTCAAGAAAGATCAAGGAACTCACAATTCGCCACAAACTTAAATGTTCAAATCCTTATATTTTATAAACCTGAGGCCGAATTTAAAGAATTTGAGCGGCGGCTTAAATTTTAGCCGCCGCTCAAATATGGTTGATTTCACTTAAAATTGTATTCAATTTTTCAAGATATAAGCCGGTGCTTAATTGAAACCGGTTTTTGGCGGATTTAAGCGCGGCTCAAATTCATTAAATTCGTACACTGAAAATGTAAATCTTCGATATTTCAAACTTTGACTATTTGAAAGGTCTGCAACATCAGGTTGAAAAGATATCTGTATTAAAAAATCAGAATTTGTGGCAAAGTAATTGAGTCTGTGTAACAAACTCTGATTTGCTAATACGTTTATTTTTTCCACCTGATGGTGTAAACCTTTGATATTTCAAACTTAGATTTTTTCATTTAACAGAATTCATAGTTTGAAATATCTAAAATCCACGGCATTAGATTACGAAGATATAGAGATTAGAAAATCATAGTTTGTGACAAAAGACTCAATTCCTTACTATTTCCGGCCTTTGACTCAACAATTGTTTGAATGATTATTACATAGCACTAAAGATAAAACAGTTTTATTGTGCAATGTAATGTAATTCTTCATGCGTAATATTTAACATAATGTTTAAATTTCAACAAACGTCAATTTTAGCACTTACTGTACAGTTGGCTATCCATGTAATGTTAATAAAAGATACAAAAAATATTATAAATCCCATCAATTTATTACGTTTTTGCTGGAAAAAAAGTTTAAATGCAATTTGCGTTTCTGTCATATTTCGAAATAGATTAAGGATTCATGTCTTTTTTATGTTATTTTTATCATCGGATTTGATAACTATCAGATCTTCTGCAATATTTTATGATTCGTATTTTGTTATATGATTTATGACATATGATGCCATGTACAGGGTTACCCCACAGAATGAGACTGTATAGCATTTATTTAAGTCTTTTCATACCTACATTTTCTACAACGGTAAAAAATTCTTTCCATATCCTTTCGGAACAAGCGCAATTTAATATTATTTTGAAGGCAAAAGACAAAACTTAACCTGTAGTTAAATATAATAAGAGATGTCCTTACAGTCTCAATCATTTAGGGTAACCCTGATGAGATCCCTGTATAGTGAATTATGTACAATATAAAAAATACTGAGAATCTTAAAGTCACGTTCGAATAAATATTTGATTCGGATCAAGATCAAATTTGATTCGGATTTTAAGAAGTTATAGTAACACAGAATTGAGGATAGTAACTAACTATTTGATTATATATCTTCCTGTATGCCAGACTTTTAATCTGACTCTATTCTAACCTATCTGTGTATCTGTCTATATTCTAACCTATCTGTGTATCTGTCTATATTCTAACCTATCTGTCTATCTGTCAGCTGTCTATATTCTAACCTATCTGTCTATCTGTCAGCTGTCTATATTCTAACCTATCTGTGTATCTGTCTATATTCTAACCTATCTGTCTATCTGTGTATCTGTCTATATTCTAACCTGTCTATATTCTAACCTATCTGTGTATCTGTCTATATTCTAACCTATCTGTCTATCTGTCAGCTGTCTATATTCTAACCTATCTGTCTATAAAATTATTTTAATTTATGTATAAAATTTGTCTAATGGTCCTGTCATCTGTATTATCTAGTATTATCAGTGTGTCCTGGTGAATCTATATATTTATCTAAATCCACCCATCACTCGTCGGGACTAGGGATGGCCATCGTTTTCATGTACGTTTATGAATATTTAAAGTTTTTTGTAACCTCAATAATTTGTCAAAAGGAAATGAGTTATTGCCAGAAAACTCTAGTTATTTCATCTCATATATCTTTGCAACCCAATGTCGTAGATCTTTGATATTTCAAACTATGAATTATGTTAGATCAAAAAGTTTAAAATATGAAAGATTTACATCGGTTGGGTAGAAACACATAGGGATACGAAACACATAGGGATACGAAACACATAGGGATACGAAACACATAGGGATACGAAAGTTTGAGTTTGTGGCCAAAACTTAGTTCCTTTGCAGAGCAAAGATATTAACCAAAACAATTATTTAAAACATTTAAAACAACCTTTTGTAAATATCTTTGGTTTGAGAATAAAGAACAAATTATTCACGGTGGACTAAGCCAGTGGGGTCGGTCAAATAGGCCTAGGATAAGGCCGGGTACTGTAAAAAGTCTGAATGCGCCATGGGAGTTGTCATAATTAGCCCTCCGACAGGACTATGCCAAGAAAATTGACCCCTGTCGTATGTTAGTCTGGTTAGGACGACGTACAGTACCATAGGATCGGGTCAGTACACGCTGTTATCTGGCAGGCCGATACAAACTAGGCAGGTCCTGTTCGAATTCAAATTTATTGCGGAGATAGAGTGTATTATAACTAAACTATTATACAATAAAATTTTGCTTTATGATTAACATCCCAGATTCTTGAAGAGAACCATTTTAAAAATCAAAACTTTGATGGTTTTAAAACAGACCACAAAACGATCTCCATGCCTACTCAGGCCCATGTCCCTACTGAGACTACAGCCTTTCTGTCTCCAATACCTGATAAAACATGAGACAGAACAATTCATTTAAAAAAAAATTTAGCAAAGTTTTTTTTTCTTCAATCCGTCTAAAATAGTTGTAAGTTTAAGAAAAAAATCGGGCAAGGCTTGTTTTCCCAAAAGAACTGATTATTCCCTTCAAAAGTCCATCTTTCCCAACTCAACCGTGAAAACCTTCGAAATTTCACATTTAGTCCATTGACCAGTTGAGGCGAGTAATCTTTTTCTTTCTGTAAATGTTTGTGTCTGTTTCTATCTTTACACTTGTCTGTTTGTCAATTTGTCAATGTTTGAAGCCGTATATGTGTCCATTAGTAAAATAAGTATATATATCTATATAACTTCTTGTCTCTAATTTGCCTGCCTTTAATCTAACACGAATTGTTACTAATTGAGTCTCCATTAATGATTTTGATTAAGGTTTATTAGAATAACTCTGGACACTAGCTTGGTATGCACCCAATAAATCCTAGGAGATAAATTGAGTAATTGTATATTTGCGTAGAGTAATTTAAAGGGACAGACCGGCTATGTAAGATAGTTGAACTGAGTATGCAGTGTTGTAGAAAGCTTCTTCAGGATTCATTTGAGACACATAAAACGTTTTAAAGATCTGTATATTCTTAGTTTGAGCGCAAATTCGACGTTCAAAACTCCTACTTTGGGGGTGGATACGTTTTCAGAATTAGTTTTTTAAAATTATTAAATAACGACGACATAAAATGTAAAACTAAGTAGTTGTTAAGGAACAGGTTGAGAAAATAAATATCAATCTTATCATCGAAAATAAGTAATCTTGTTCAGTTATTAGTTTCTATTTTCTCATTCATCTGGTTTCTTATTATTCACAAAGATTTTCTGCAGATTTTCTGGAATTATTAATGAAAAGACGACATTTGAAGAATTTAAAGAAATCTGCGAATAAATTCAAAGAAAAGAAGAAATTCAATATAATGATGAAAACAAAATAATTGATTTAATAAAAAAGAATTATACTAAACATGATGTTTAACGTCTCATGATGATCCTCAGTAGTCAAAAAAGACATGTATGTAATATGTATATTGTGGTTTTTGACAATTTTTTAATTAGATTTTGATGGTTATTAAATCGTTAGAACTGACGAGGGTCAACCCAAACCGAAATATATTTTCAATATATGTAGAACTAAAATCTACTTTTTTTACTTTACATAGGTTTGGTCCATCACCATCGCCGAATTTTAAATGTATATATATCTAGATTGGAGCCCCCCGGAAACCTCACTATCGAAACCATGACTCCTCTATATATTTCAGGTAATAATTTATTTAGCGCATTTTTGGTTAAAAATATAAAATAACACAAAGTCTCGGTTAAACAGACTCAAGTTAATTATGTTCTTTTTTCATTTGACTATTAAAAATAATAATTTGAGTCTAAAATATATAAATAATATGTTCATATATTACGAATTTGAAATAATAATAGTCTAAAATATAGATATAATATGATCATATATTACGAATTTGAAATCAAAATTATCTAAAATATAGATATTTTATAATGTTAACTCTTTAATTTTCTGTATAGTTTTCAAGTTTTTTAGTTTTTAGTAAATAAAACATATTTTATAAATCAATGTTGTGGTATTCGTCTGTCACTACATTATGATCTTATTTCTCAACACATCAAATTGTGTTAATGGGTTAAAAGTTAATGTATTCTTTTCACACCAAAAGTCAAGAGCCATGTCCTGCTGCTTCACGACCCCCCCCCCATGACGATGCCCCCCTCTAACCTGGCGGTAATAACCTGAATTCGTTTAACAGACTTCCCAAAAAAAGTTTCAATGTTCACAGTGTTGACGAATGTTTTGTTTTGGGCGTTTTCATCTTTCAGCCAAAAATTTATTCAAATCCGTTTATTCTGAAATTTATGGAATTCAAAATACAAATAAAATACAATTTGTAGATAAAATAGACAGAATATATCACACTTGTCAGCAGTATTAGAATATCGAAATCATTTCCAATCTGTTGACAATAGTTTTACAATTCAAAACACGTTTTTAAGCAACTTTTGCCCCTTTTATGGCAGGTGTGCAGGATTTTGTCAAGGGGCTCTGCTTAATACGGGCTTATGGCCCCAGCTCTAGGATGAATACTCCCTGAAAACCATAGTTCCAACCCCTAAAGTATGTATAGTGTGTGGCGGAAGACGATCCAACCTGAAGCCGGATATTTGAACGCGGCAAGCTTCTCTTGAATTTCCTGCCACGTCACCTAGTTTCAAGATATATGATTTTTCAAAGTAAATTTATATATAGTTTTTTGGTCAAGTAAATAAAGTAGTTATTTAAACTAGTTTGTGATCAAACCGAGCGTAGCTAAAAGTGCATGTAAACGCCTCTGAATACGACTTCTCCGGGCCTTGGCTGAACCACTAACAAATCATTGAGTCTTGCCACAAACTCTGCAATCCAATGTCGTAGACCTTAGATATTCCAATCTATGTATTTTGTTGGATAGAATAATCTTAGTTAGAACATCAGGTTTTAGAAATATAGAGATTAGAAAATTTAGTTTGCAATGGAAAAGACTAAATTTCGTATGAACTGGTTAATAATTGAGAAGCCCAATACTAAGTTTGCTGTAAGCTCGCAAAGAAACGACGGAATTTATAATCTATTTTAATAGATTTTGTGATTTTTTCTGTAAACTGGTTAAAGTTAGAAGTCAATTTAGTTTTGGTTCTTTGTTGAGACAGGTTTGAAAAACAATAAAATCGTTTAAACATTTAAAAGTTTTTTCTATTATCTTTATTCTGATCTATGATTAGGTTTGTCTCGAGACGGACGGATTAGACTGTTCTTTTCCTTCCCTTTTAAAAATACGAATTTAAGCTTTTAAGAAATAGGGATTATAGGCGAGGAGTAGTTTAGGTCATTCAACTTGATTTATGTCATCAATTTAGTGAAGATTTTTAGATCAGAAGTTGTATTTAAGGATCAGAATCAAGTGAATGGTAGAGGTTAGATTTCATTAGGGTTTAAAATCTTCTAATGAATAAAAATGTTCTGTTATATATTCTCAGATTAATTTAATATCAGAATCTGATCATTGATCAGAATTATGATAAAGGGTCAGATTCAAATATTTCGAAATCACAGTACAAGTTCGGATCAGAATCTGATACGGTTAATGATCAAAATCTGATTTGTCATCAAAATCTGGTTTGTCATCAAAATCTGATTTGTCATCAAAATCTTACATGTCATCAACATTTGATTTGTTATCAAAATCTGATTTGTCATCAAAATCTTTTGTCATCAAAATCTGATTTGTCATCAAAATCAGATTTGTCAGCAAAATCTGATTTGTCATTAAAATCTTACATGTCATCAACATTTGATTTGTTATCAAAATCTGATTTGTCATCAACATCAGATATGTCATCAAAATCTGATTTGTCATTAAAATCTGATTTGTCATCATAATCTGATTTGTCATCAAATTCAGATTTGTCATCAAAATCTTACATGTCATCAACATTTGATTTCTTATCAAAATCTGATTTGTCATCAAAATCTGATTTATCATCAAAATCTGATTTGTCATCATAACCTGATTTGTCATCAACATTTGATTTGTCATCAAAATCTGATTTGTCATCAAAATCTGATTTGTCATCAAAATCTGATTTGTCATCAAAATCTGATTTGTCATCAAAATCTGATTTGTCATTAAAATCTTACATGTCATCAACATTTGATTTGTTATCAAAATCTGATTTGTCATCAAAATCTGATATGTCATCAAAATCTGATTTATCATCAAAATCTGATTTGTCATCATAATCTAATTTGTCATCAACATTTGATTTGTCATCAAAATCTGATTTGTCATCAAAATCTGATTTGTCATCAAAATCTGATTTGTCCTCAAAATCTGATTTGTCATCAAAATCAGATTTGTCATCAAAATCTGATTTGTCATTAAAATCTTACATGTCATCAACATTTGATTTGTTATCAAAATCTGATTTTTCATCAAAATCTGATTTGTCATCAAAATCTGTTTTGTCATCAAAATCTTATTTAAACTTAGGAGTGAGGGGTGGGGTGGGGGTGGGCAGAATCTGAAAAAAAAATGAATCAGACTTTGGTCAGATATAATCCGGAAAGTTTGTTTAAAGTTTGAATAAGCCGATGAAAACATATTTGTTTGTAGAATGTTTATATAAACTTCAAATTCAATAAAACTATACGAGCACATAGCTATATATTATCTGAGGAGCACTGACTACTGACTTATCACCACTTTTTCAACAATAAAATGTGCAAAAATACGTTTATAGTGTTGATTTTTCAATACTTTGCAAATATGTGTCTGATCGGTCTGTGTCACATGCGAAGAAATTAAATTTTTTACAGTGAGACTCATAAAACTGTGAAATGAAAAAACGATATTTATGTAAAATTATGTATTTTATGTTGTCACGAATCAAATAGTTTTACCCATTTTGAAAATTAACTCATTAAGTAATGGGTCTTTGAAGACTAAAAAATTGATGTTCATGTCTATTGGACTTTTATAAATCATAAACGGGGCCTTCCTCTTCCAAGTTAATTTTATGGGTCTTTCTGTAAGAAGAATCTTTGTTTATAAAGATTTTATATGTATATATTATATAGGTATGTACCTAATATGTTTGTAGTTTGTAAGTGCTGAAATACATGAAAGTTTTAATCCTCGCATTTTCTGTTTTTTGGAAGTTTAAAACCCTGAAACCTGAGCAGTTCTAAGATTATAAAATGTTTTTGTTTTGTTCCCAACACAGACTCTTCTAATTCTTAAAATGGGAAACATTTTTTTCTGATATTTTGAGAAAAAACAAGAGTAATTTGGACATGACAAAAATAATATTATGTAACATGCAAAGATACTATACTTGATTTAAAACAAATAAAGATAAAAAGGTACAAAACGACAAAAATATGGGCTAAAAAAATCGACCACGTAATAATGAATGAGTGTAAAAAATATTTAAATAATCAAAAAATAGAATTACATTTTTTACATTTAACAGAAAGGGGTCATTTATATTCACACACACACACATAAATATATATATATTACTGAATGGGAATAATTTCAAGGATTTTAAAACTATCTCTAAGTATTAGTAGTATTCAAATATATTTAAATATCGAGTTCTTTCCTAAATCAAGATTGACAAGGTGCAGGGGTTCATTTCGTTTATAGAGAAAAATTAGCAGGGTTTCGTTCTTTTTAAAAAATTATTGTATGTGCGTCATTACTAGCTCTTATCTGTCTATAAGCACTTGGGAACCCAGCGCTGCCAAGGTTACTCCAGCCGTTTACCCGCACTTGAACGATTTCAACAGGAAACTAAATTTTCGCTATTAAAGTCCACCCACTAAATTTAGAATCTCATAACCAAGCTAAGAACATTCCCGTGGGTCTCCCGAGTTCCCCCCCCCAAAAAAAAATTTGGAACATTCCCGTGGGTCTCCCGAGTTCCCCCCCCCGAGTTCCTGAGTGATGATCGGACAAACAAACAGAGATTACAACATTATATTAAAAATGGAGTTTTTTAAAGGGTTTTATTTCAGTTCTAAGATGAATCAGGTTCTAATCCAGGGTTTTATTTCAGTTCAAGGTTTATCAGGTTCTAATACAGGGTTTTATATTTCAGTTCTAAGATTAATCAGGTTCTAATCCAGGGTTTTATATTTCAGTTCTAAGATGAATCAGGTTCTAATCCAGGGTTATATTTCAGTTCTAAGATGAATCAGGTTCTAATCCAGGGTTTTATTTCAGTTCTAAGATGAATCAGGTTCTAATCCAGGGTTTTATTTCAGTTTAAAATTAATCAGGTTCTAATCCAGGGTTTTATATTTCAGTTCTAAGATGAATCAGGTTCTAATCCAGGAGATGAATCAGGTTCTAATCCAGGGTTTTATTTCAGTTTAAAATTAATCAGGTTCTAATCCAGGGTTTTATTTCAGTTCTTGAATTTATCAGGTTCTAATCCAGGGTTTTATTTCAGTTCTAAGATGTGGGGGAGCCTGCCCTACCTCCACCCAGAGCTGTGTTCCAACCAAACAGAGGAAAAAAGATGTTCCTGTAATTATTGGCAGGTGAGGACATTTTTATAGGGTGTCCCAATTATATACAGTGAAACCCTTAATAACGAATACATCGAAAGAATCTATCAAATGTCGTCTTGACAATTTTGCAATGAGTTTTATACTATATTACGTAAATTTCAGTATTTGCGAAAATATATAAGTAGCCATGTATATGCGGGAACAGTTTTAAGAGTTCCATATGATAAATTAATTAAAAAACTAAATATCTGCAACATTCCATTATCAGAAAGTGAAGAATACGACATTTGATGAATTCATTCGATGTATTTGTTATTAAGGGTTTCACTGTATCTAGTTGACATAAAACTAAATACAACTAAGTACGTCATATCTGTCTTATTGTGATATTCACTCAACATTCTGATATATTTAAAATATAGCCCAACAAAAATAATACATCAAATACGAAAATCTGAACAGTTAATCGGTCAAGTTTGGTTTTAAAGTAAAGACTCACAAAACTTTTAACTAGGACCTGTATCTTACCGTAAGTTATTTAATGATAGACCACAATTAAGGTAGTCTTTGGAACCTTCAGCATTTTTTTTATTTACTTAACTAAATCATGAACTATCGGTAAACATAACAAAAGTCGTTTCTTTATTCCATGTTTATTGAATTTTTTTTTAACCTGTACTTTAAACATCTAAAGGATGACATATATTCTAAAATTTTCTGTCCAAAGCACAAATGCAACTCCAGAAACTCCAAGTATACAAGGCAATTTTAAATGATGGATTGATGTATGTAAATGTCAGTTTAAACTGAACCCTAGAGTCTCTAGACCTTCTTCGCTGTACGCGTTCCTTAGTTGTAAATTAGAATATCTTCTCAATTGTTAAAGGAATAAAATAGTTGTAAATTAGAATATCTTCTCAATTGATAAAGGAATAAAATAGTTGTAAATTAGATTATCTTCTCAATTGATAAAGGAATAAAATAGTTGTNCCTTCTTCGCTGTACGCGTTCCTTAGTTGTAAATTAGAATATCTTCTCAATTGTTAAAGGAATAAAATAGTTGTAAATTAGAATATCTTCTCAATTGATAAAGGAATAAAATAGTTGTAAATTAGATTATCTTCTCAATTGTTAAAGGAATAAAATAGTTGTGAATTAGAATATCTTCTCAACTGTTAAAGGAATAAAATAGTTGTAAATTAGAATATCTTGTCAATTGTTAAAGGAATAAATTATAAATAGGAATCAAGAGATGAAGTATAATCAGTAAACAAGTATGAAGTCCTACGTGACAAAAATATAAACTAAAAAATAAATTGTCAACTCTAATCGGTAATCGAACTTATTGGTTAGGCGAGTTATAGACACGGCTTACAGACCAATGAGTTTATAGCATGTACAGTTCTTATCTTGATTGAGCATAGCACAGAGAGGATGAAGAATTACTGAAATAAAATCTTGATGGAGCTTGGACAAAGAGGATGGAGAATTAAATAGATGATATCTTGAGGGAGCTAGGACAAATAGGATGAAAAATTACAGAGATGAGATCTTGTTGGAACTAGAACAAAGAGTATGGAGAATTAAAGAGATGATGTCGTTAATGAGCTAGTACAGAGAGTATCGAGAATTAAAGAGATGATAACGTGACGGAGCATAGGACAAAGAGGATGAAGAATTACATAGATATCTTGATTGAGCATAGGACACAGAGGATGGAGAATTACAAAGATATTATCTTGATGTAGGTAAATACAGATAGCAATATGTAGATTGTAGATGCTAAAGTGTTGTAGAAATGTAGCATGGGTTTATGAGATGTATAGATAGTTAGATAAATAGATAGATGATATTGGATAGAAATATGGACAAGGGATAAGTAGATAGTTAGGTACATGGAATGATGGGATGGTTAGGGATAGAGGTTGGAATGATTGAATAGATAGATAGATTTAAAATTGGTTAGATAGATAAATACATAGTAGGATAGTTCTGCTATATGAAATGCTAAAGATTTCGGATAGAAATTTAGTGGGTTTATGGGATGGTTAGATAGATAGATAAATGATGGGACAGGTAGATAGATTCATGATTGGTTAGATATGTAGATTGATGATGGGATAAATAGATGGGTAGATAGATAAGTCCGTGATTGGATAGACAGATAGATATATAGATTGTTAGATAGGAAGATGGTTGATGGGATAGATAGGTCCATGATTAGATAGATGGAAGGATGGATAGATGGATAGATGGATAGATAGATAGATAGATCCCTGATTGGTTAGATAGATGGATTTGCAGACACATCTCTAAAAAAGGGGATGCAGCTTAAAATCTACTTTTCTATCTTAATTCGATCTTTAGCCTACTGAATCCTACTCGTTTTAACTCTCAACTTTTTATATCTATCTATCTTTGTATTATATTGATGATAGATTTCCATATCATGCAACTATATAATTAGTCAATTTCAAAACAAATCATACAAAAATTAATCTTTTGTACAATTAAGTGAAGACTTTACCGACTGTACTCTATGCAGTATAATGCAGAACGGTACGGTAAATTAATTTGTTTAAAAAATTATAACAAAGATTAAAATTTAAAGAGTTTGAAGAGGAAATATTTAAAAACCTCTAAAAGTAGAGATTGTGCCCCCCCCCCCCCCCCCCAATTCTAAAAGTCGAAACATATTTATTTTTAACGATTTAAATTTTTTGATGGTTTGCAAATTGTAGATTGTACAATGTAAATTTTTTTTATGAAATAATTTCCTTGAATACGACTGTATAAATAATCGAAACATTGTCATGAAAATGTTATCAACCAATCAAATTAGTCAGTTTGATCACTGTTCCGATTTTATTTGTCAAATATTTCTGCATATTTTGAAATGATTTTTATGTGCGTTTGCAATATTAATCTAAAATCATCTTTAAAATATTAAATCAAAATTTTTTTCTATAAACATTTTTTATCTGTAAAAGTGAAACTTCGAGTACATAATAATGATGATAAATTAGAAAGGTTGGGTATTTATCACATTATTACACCGCAACGCTTACAAACAATTTTAGTTTTGATGTATATACGATCAATTAAAACACGTATCACGCAATAATGAAATTTTTAATTCACATTTTTAACTTTCACGTCGTCAGTAAAATTCTACAAATACATCAACCAAAAAAGTTTTGTTTTGACAGAATATAGTTTGATTTTTTATTTTCTACTGTAACATACTGTGTGATACATATGTTTGAAATAAATATAATTGTAAATATGTAAATGTAAATGTAAAAATGTGCGCGAACCTCGAAAAGACGTTCCTGATTTCAAAGCGTATTTTTTGCGTATAAGACAAGGAGAATCTTTGCAACCACGTATCTCGGGAAGAGGACATTTTTATTAATCACTTTTTCTTTGAAGAAGTCAATTCGAAGGGACTCAAATTAACTTTTAAGTATTCAAAAACCGTAAAGGACAAGGTTAGATTTGAAGGGGCTATATCCTTTCACCCCCCCCCTCATCGCGTCGGATGTTCATGGCGTAAATCTTAAATGTTTTTTATAAGGCCAGGTAACATTTATCAAATGTAAAGAACAAATAACAATCAACCCTCCTCTGTACCTCTTCTTACCACTCCCTTTATTGTTCCGCCCCCTCATGTTACAATCAAACATGGTTCTACGACTTGAATAAAATTTGTCGCCAGGCAGAAATGGTATCTCCATTAATCTACATTGCACAAAACCATGCTAGAGACATAAAAATTCTTCTCCATCCAAAGTTATAATGCAAGGAAAGTTATTCCAGAGGTGTACTCATCTTTTGTAATAATGCAGTGTACTGTCTCTGGGCGGTAATGTAAACACAAGACGGATGTCGAAGCCTGACATGGTATCAATCTTTCACATAAAAATCCATGAAATATTCTGGTCATAGGAAACTATTATGTGAGTTATCAAAATGATAAAAATTTAATGCTTTTAACCTCCTCGTATTCTAAACAAACACTGATGCATCTATTCTTGTTTACTAATTCCATCCAGAGAGAACTGGTTTCAATATGTACGTAGAGTATACGCAACTGCAATTAACTTTCCTTGCATTATAACCTTGACTCCTTTATTATTCATAATACTCTTTTATTTTGTTAAAATTTTTCCTGTGGAGTTATGAAAGAGTATATTTTTTTAGGAGAAAGGTCTCCAGTATAGTATTTGAATAATTAACTTAACAAATCTGGCATTTGAAATAAAGTAAAATGGGAATGAAAAGATGAAAAATTTTTAGAGAATTAATTGTATTTTAAACTTGGCTAATTTTGTATTTTTAGCATTTAGAATGAAACTATATAGGGCAAATTTGACTTAAATCATTCAACTTGAAATCAAATTTGTGTTGAAATATTAAACCACAATTTTACCAAACTAGAACTGCATTCAACACTTTAGCTCCGCAAATATGCATTATTTTTTGCAAAATTAAATCTGCACATAACCCAAGCTGCATTTCATAAATAAGGATGTTAGTGCAAAATCGCAGAAGTGTTAAAAAAGCATGAATATTTAACATATGCTGTATTCATAATATCGCATAAATAATCAAGATATTTTTTATCAGTTTAAATTAATCCATTAAAATCTTGTTTTATAAAACAGAAATGATAAGTTGTAGAAAAGAATTTTTTTTTAAAAGGATGCAATCTGTGCAAGAATCTTGATAGAAATGATGAACGGATCCATTCACGATTTAACACTGGTTCATTCAATACCCATCTATGACTTTTGTGATCATTCCCTTTCAGTAGAAAATAGTTTTCGTTTAAGATCCCCTATGAATTGGCCTTGAATGTTTCATGATTAAAAATGTTTAATATTCTAATTTGTCATGACTGACTAGATATCAATGTAACGAATACTCTCTTTACCTAAACTAATATATTTAATGACAGCACTAATCAATAAATTTATCAAATAAATTTTTAAAAATTTTATGGTATCACAAATTTTAAAGATTCCACTTAAAGTATGTATAAAAATATGTTTAGTTTGCTCTAAATTATAATGGAAAAAATCATGAGTGAGAATTGTGATGTTATTTCTATTTAGGGGCAACATATTCCGTTGGGAATCCTACATGTAACCTTATAAATTGAAGGTCATTTGAAATTACGTCACCTTTCCCTTTAAATCGATTATATTACCATCTTGTGACATTTTCTATTAAAATATACCTTAGGACGCCTAACACTTTAAAATTTGAAGACGACATGTTAAAGCAACAAGTTTTACCAGTAACTTGAAAATCAATTTAATGGTTCGTGTACATCAGACTTCAGACTAAAAGTCGTTTTCATTTTCTACAGTTTTTTATGTATGCCTGTATTTTCTAATCTATATATATCTAGTTGTGGGGTTAAATCTGGAGTATGTGACAAGGAGTGCTATACTCTAATCTATATATATCTAGTTGCGGAGTTGAATTTGGAGTATGCGACAAGAAGTGCTATCTATACTCTAATCTATATGTCTATAGTTGTGGAGCTTAATCTGGAGTGTGTGACAAGGAGTGCTATACTCTAATCTATATGTTTAGTTGTGGAGTTAAATCTTGAGTATGTGACAAGGAGTGCTATACTCTAATCTATATATATTTAGTTGTGGAGTTAAATCTGGAGTATGTAACAAGGAGTGCTATACTCTAATCTATATATATCTAGTTGTGGAGTTAAATCTGGAGTATGTGACAAGGAGTGCTATACTCTAATCTATATATATATATATCTAGTTGTGGAGTTGAATCTGGAGTATGTGACAAGGAGTGCTATACTCTAAGTGTGGATGAGGATACAGAATGCCAGTGTTCTTGTTTAGAGAAACAGGTTCAATTCAATTTTTGATTTTTGAAAAAGTTTTAAAATCACATTTTTTTCCGGTATAATTTTTGTATTTCTAACCATCTATAACCCTCACTGAGGTCTTGAGAGTCGCTACAGAAAAATTGGACCCTATCGATACGCTTTGTGCACGTTTATTGGACACAGATAGACAGATAGACTTATAGACAGATAGACAGATAAGCAGCCAAATTACAAATACAATACAAATAGATTACAAAAAAACAACATGCTTGGAGTTGGTTTGAGTTAGCTAACTCAGCTCAAACATATCGTTTCTCAAAAATAACAAAGGTTTTATAATGGATTTAAGATTTATAATTACCTGCAACACTGTATTATGCAAGCTGAATAGACTGTATTTTTCACGGTTATAAATTGCATAGTGAACTATTTTTTTTACTTTTTCAATTGAAAGCAATAAATTTGACATTTATGAGGAATAATTAAGCAGTTTGAGATACTTTAAATACTTGAACAAAGCAATTATAATTTGCATAACATGCACTCGCATTTTCTCAAAACCTGAACAAATTTTCCGACTTTTAAATATTCACTAAAATTATTCTACAGATACACTTTACAGTGTAGACAGGGTCGACAACATAGACAAGGTTAGACAGAAAATATGTCCATTTTCCGAGAATGATTATTTTATTATTGATAAAACAAACAAGAAAAAAGATAATCATTGACTTTTGTCTAGGTTATCGTGCATATATATGTATGAAAGTTTCAAAACAAGAATATGTACGACTATATTTGTAGAATCCGTGGTTAACAAAATAAAAGGAGTGTGGTCCTGTATTAAACCCTTGTATTGTAGAAGAAGTGTGGTCCTGTATTTAACTCTTGTATTGTAGAAGAAGTGTGGTCCTGTATTTAACTCTTGTATTGTAGAAGGAGTGTGGTCCTGTATTTAACTCTTGTATTGTAGAAGAAGTGTGGTCCTGTAATAAACTCTTGTATTGTAGAAGAAGTGTGGTCCTGTATTTAACTCTTGTATTCTAGAAGTACTGTGGTCGTGTATTTAACCCTAGTATTTTAGAATAAGTGTGGTCCTGTAATAAAATCTTGTATTGTAGAAGAAGTGTGGTCCTGTATTTAACTCTTGTTTTGTAGAGGAAGTGTGGTCCTGTATTAAACTCTTGTATTGTAGAAGGAGTGTGGTCAGTATTAAACTCTTGTATTGTAGAAGAAGTCTGGTCCTGTATTAAACCCTTGTATTGTAGAAGGAGTGTGGTCCTGTATTAAACTCTTGTATTGTAGAAGAAGTCTGGTCCTGTATTTAACTCTTGTATTGTAGAAAAAGTGTGGTCCTGGTGAAGTATTTAACTCTTGTATTGTAGAAGAACTGTGGTCCTGGTAAAGTATTTAACTCTTGTATTGTAGAAGGAGTGTGATCCTGGTGAAGTATTAAACTCTTGTATTGTAGAAGAAGTGTGGTCCTGGTAAAGTATTTAACTCTTGTATTGTAGAAGGAGTGTGATCCTGGTGAAGTATTTAACTCTTGTATTGTAGAAAAAGTGTGGTCCTGGTAAAGTATTTAACTCTTGTATTGTAGAAGGAGTGTGATCTTGGTGAAGTATTTAACTCTTGTATTGTAGAAGGAGTGTGATCTTGGTGAAGTATTTAACTCTTGTATTGTAGAAAAAGTGTGGTCCTGGTAAAGTATTTAACTCTGGAACCTGCAGCTGCAGATGTGAGGATTCTCTAGCTGATACAGTTTGTAGAGAAGCAGGAACATTCAATATTAATTTTCTCAAAAAACAATTTAATTTAAAAAGTGATTTCTCTATATATTGAGAAGCCTGTCCAATTTACAAACCATGCCTTGAAAAGCTTTTTTTAATGAAGTATGAATGACAAATCCATGTTTTCAATTTCAACTTAAAATTTGTTTATTTTCAATTGTGTTTTTTTAAGTGACTTGCACAATATGCTTGGAAAAAAATAACAGTATTTAAAACTTTTCAGTTAAATAGATAAATGACGATATCTTCCTCATTGATTCTCAGCTAGTGGATTATAGGGCATAATTGTGAATCGGACAGGTCTTCCTTTTTTAAATATGGATCACTTGAAATTTTGCCTGCAGTCTCTTAGATCTAAAATAATTGCTAGTCCCCCATTATTCCCCTTTCTAAATTTCATTCATGATTAGGAATATAAAACCTCTAAACTATTTTTTGTAATGTAAACTTTTTTCTGGAATACTGCCAATTCCATGCACACTCCTATCTCTACCCCACCCCCTTCTCCATCTAAAATTCTATTAGATGCACTTTAGTTAAACATTTTTTTCCGATTTATTGTTCAAACGTGGGGAGGGGAGGGGGTAAATAGGAGAAGAGGTATTTAGATGATCCGAAAAGAATCTATTTATTTAATAACATGATATCTGATTCAGTAAAAAGTGTCTTGTCATTCTTTTTGTCATCTTTTCTCCTCTTTGTTCTATAAGCATCTAACAAGGGGAATAGATTTGATTAAAACGGGTGTAAGGAAAATTGAATTCAAATTTTCTTAGTAAAAGCAAGATTTAAAAGATTAATATTTGCGAGGATTTAACAAAAATTACGAGGAATCAATTTTTTTAAAATCATCTTTTTAGATAACATATTTGAACCTTGTATTGTTATTTTTCATAATACTCTTTAAGATCGTTTTCAGATAATATATTTTAACCTTGCTTTATTATTATTCATAATACTCTTTTATTTTGTTAAAATTTTTCCTGTGGAGTTATGAAAGAGTATATTTTTTTAGGAGAAAGGTCTCCAGTATAGTATGTAAATAACAAAAGCAATAAATTTGACATTTATGAGGAATAATTAAGCAGTTTGAGATACTTTAAATACTTGAACAAAGCAATTATAATTTGGATATATGATTTTTCAAAGTAAATTTATATATAGTTTTTTGGTCAAGTAAATAAAGTAGTTATTTAAACTAGTTTGTGATCAAACCGAGCGTAGCTTGGTCCCCCTTTTTAATATTCGTCCCCCGTGCTATTATTCTATAGTCCTGACTGTAAAATAAGTTCTGCGTAATTTCATGCTTTTCCTTTCAGTTTTAAGTTTTCAACCCTTCTTTTTAATTCTATTCTTTTATATCAACACAATGAAGACGACTTTTCTTTCTAACAAGCTTTTTTTCAAATGACAAGTTTACAAGCAAACAAAGGGAAGCTGTTAATTGACAGCTTCTCTATATCTCCTTGTTTATCTGTATCCATGCTATTTGAAAGATTGTTAGAATTAAATCTAAAATGAAATCGAAAGTCGTCTTCATTGTCAAGGAAAACTAATATTATTATTATCACCGCTCCTTTTTTTCCACTCCTTAACAACGTTATTATGTTCTTCATTATCCTCATTTTCTTTATTAAATCCATCTTATATTATTCTTTATCAAACTTACAAACAACATTGTCATCCACTCTTCACCGGCCTTAATTCATAGTTATTTCTCAAAAAAAAGATAAATTCCACACCATGATCACCTTTATCATCATTTACACCATAACATCTCGTCATTTGGTTCATTATCATTTTCAACTTGATTATCATCATCTTTTAAATCTGGAATGTTCTGACGTTCAAAAATTTCTGTTAACAGGTGTGAACACTAATAAATCACTTTGTACTGTGTACTTGAATGTACTGTACAAACAGGCCGGGTTTGGCAAACTGATAGCTGTACATGTGGGTGTCCTTTACATACAATTGTTCCTTGTACAACAGGTCAGTAGATTAATTTCCAAACATGTTCTATTCTAATTTTTGGAGATCAAATAATTAATTACTTTTTACTTTTCAGGATTAAAATTTGATAATGAGACCTGTACCTGCCTGGATCAAGCTTACAGGTATAGATAAACAAATTCATGTATAAATAGCTTGGAAACCCAGCTTTGCCTGGAAACTGAACTTTTCTATCAAGTTTTCAAAGTTAAGAACATTCCAATGGTTCTATAGAGTTCCTAATCAAAATTTGAGGTAAATCGGTCATGGGGTTCATGAGTTCTGATCCGTAATACAAAAAAAATACTACTTTATATATGTACTAGCTTGAAAACCCAGCTTTGCCAGGAGTTTTTACTTTAAAAGTTAACCCGTTCAACTTGGAACTTTAAACCAAGCTAAGAACATTCGCGCATGGTTTTACTGAGCTCCCCAATCAAAATTTGAGGCAAATCGGTCCATGTTTTCATGAGTTATGATCGGACATCTAAACAGACAGGCAATCAGAGATTACTACTTTATATATATATATATATAGATATTGACTAGCTTGAGGACCCAGTTTTGCCTGGAGGCCTGATACTAAACTTTCAAAACCAAAATATAAACATTTTCGTGGTTCTAGCGAGTTCCTCAATCAAAATTTAAGGCAAATCGGTCAAGGGGTTCTTGAGTAATGATCAAACAAACAAACACCCAAACATAGATTACTACTTTATATATACAGATAACAGAGGCACATGTGAATAGACAAATATCTATTATGACAGACACGTCACAAACTCACAGATAGACAGATATAAATTCTGACGGTACGAATATGAGGCATAAAGAATTTTCATTTGGCAGTTTAAAGAACTGATGTTATAAAAGAATGCAGTATTTGAATAAAGACGTTATTATATGAAACCTTACCGATGGTTGGAATGGTTTATTGGTGATAAACCCACCACACCATTAAACATTATACTTCGTATAGAGCAGATTTATTCAGTTCTACAAATGTTGTAATGTCTGATACAAAAGTACTAATGTTTTCCAAGAAAATATACTAACACTAGCCTTAGAGGGCGCTTCGCGCCCATCTTCTAAATTAATTGTGAACATGTTCTCTTTGTGTACATCGTAAAACAAAACAAAAATAATTCGGGGATTTTCACAAAAAATTTCGTGGATTTTCAAAATTTTAAAAAATTTAATGAAGATCGAATGTTTTGCAAGAAAATATACTAACATTTCATTAAAATCAAATGATTAAAAAATCTTCTGTTAGGAACGATTTTCGAAATTCAATATAAACCTTTACCCTTTGGCTTCTTTAGTTTAGGCGTTTCGTGCCCAAAATTATGTTAACAATTTTAGCTTTTAACTATTTCTCTTAAGTCACAATTTTTCATCGTACTCTGCGATTAACAACATATTTTTAAGTTTGACCATTCATAGACCTTCCCTGGGGTCAAGTGAGTTGCCAAAAAAAATCAGTCGTTTTAACGTTTATTCAATACAAACAAACAATTACACCCAGACAAGCAAAATATATATAAAGACAATGTAGATATCTTGATTTCATGAATAGAATAGAATTGAAAATATCATTTCAATGCATGGGTGGGTTGAATGGGTTACCCGGTTACATTGAAAAAGATAAAGTGAGGTGGTGGAGGGGGGTTGAGAGAGGGGGGGACAAGTTCATGTTCATTTGTTTCGATTCCATATTTAGGAATGGTTTAGGGAGGGAGAGGTTTGAATTAAATTAAACATATGAACACATTTGTTTCCGTTTCCTTTCCTTTCAATAAAAATAATACGCACACATGCAGCCATTGTAAGTATTTATATTATACTTCCATAACATAGAACAAAATCTAAATTTACCAATCATTAAATCTGTAAAATTGACGGAACGGAACTTTAAGTTGGTCTCACTCTACAGTTTCTTATCCGCACTAGTCTACATGCGATCAGAGGTTTGACCATTGATAAATAAATAAACATAGATAGCTTATGTACGCAAAATCACCAAGAATTGTACAGTCAGCGAACTCATACTTCTAGGGGTCAAAGTGTACTTCAATGATAAGCGGGGTAGTTTGGTGTTTTAATGGATTTCATAATAGAGTGTAAAATAACTCCGTGAATGGAACTATTTTAACAACAATATTTCACTGAGCAATATATTGACGAGAACTGAAGAAGGACATGAGAAGGACTAAACTAACTTAAATTTCTCTCTACAGAACTCATGTACACCACAAGTACTCAATGACATAAGAACAGCCAATGTTCACAACCGACCTAGTTAATCTATATAATATGAATATCTTTAAAACATCTCTGTACATTTATATCTTTCAAGATGAAAAATGTCGTCTTATGCGCAATCTATCTTTATCTATGGTTTGATAAATGAGAGATATAAGACGAACTTAGATTATAGCTTTGTCAATTCAAAAGTAACCAACCAAAGACTACATAGTCTGACATAGATAATATTCTTGTATCAATAAAAATTGTTTTAAAAGATTGAAAACCAACCAAAGTTTCATGAAAAAAACCTTTTTATTTATTTAAAATTTTGTGAAAGTTTGAGAACGTTAAAACAAAACAAAATATCTTTGATATAAATTATCCCAAAGTTTCATGTTTAGAGGTTAGACGCTTCTGTTAAAAAGATTGATTGATCTTTAATTCTTAAACCGGTTTTTCTATTCATTATTGACAATAAGGGAGTGTCAGAGGTGTTCACAAATTATCACAAAAATCAGACAAAAATGTTTTAAAAATGTGTGACTTAGGTTGTCATCTATTCATCTGAATTTTGAAAATATATTTGTTTAGAAAACCTGAAGAGAAAATTTCATCTGAAAGTAGAGTAGCAAGAAGCAACTTAATAATAAAGGTATTAATTCATCTTTTTATTCAACTCATTTATTAATTTTTCTGTTATTTTATTTAAATTCATTTTTTTTATCTATTTGTCTTTTAATTGTAAATTATACTTTGCAAGTTTTTATTTCTTAACAAGAATTGTTTTCTATTTTTTTCCCAAATCTTAAAAAGTTTTTGAATTTCTTTGTTTATCATTTCCTTTTGCATTTATTTCTTTATTAACTTATTCAATTTTTCATGTAGTTATTTATTTACCATATTAAATTTAAGTATCCTGTACAGTGTACAGTGTACAGCTTAGTTTAGAATTTGCTCGTTAGCTCGTTGTCCAAAGTTTTAGGTTTTATTTGCTTTGAATTTTGCATTTGTTTAAACATAAATCAATCAAGATAATTCCTCATTCATCTAGCTGGGCAGTAGTCATTCTTTATAATTATTTATCTTACATACTTAGGCACCATTGCAATCCTTTACTTGGAGAGTCAAGTTTGGTCACTTTTCCCATTCACTATACTCACTGACTCACTAACTCACCTAATCAATCAATCAATCAACCAATATATTTATCTTTACATTCTATCCTAGGGTTCCATGGACTTTTGTCTATAATCTCTTTTCACTTTTGAGTATCTATCTTTGATCTAAGNGACTGTAGAACTACTCTAAATATTTACTTCTTTCTAGTTAAGGGTAATATATACAAAATCTGACACAGCACACATACACAGGTGTATTTAGAGTATAGACAGACGTCATATAAACATATATATATATAGTTATATATGCAACTACAGACCTTGAAGGACAGACACAAAAACATACTTACACTTTGATTGAAATGAGGACCGACATGGGCAGACAACAAAAACAATACATATTGTGCCCTGAATGGCTCTCAGGAGGATAAAATTACTTTGATGTATTATCGAATCTCTGGTGACATATATTGTAGATTTTTACTTGTGGAATAAAACATGCAAGTTATATACAAGTGGAAAGTCGCATTGATCTGTTGATCTATTGATTTATTGATCTTTTGAACTATTGATCTATTTAATTTTAGATCTATTGATCTATTATCTATTGATCTATTGATCTATTGATCTATTGATCTATTGATCTATTAATCTATTGATCTATTGATCTATTGATATATTAATCTATTTATCTATTGATCTATTGATCTATTGATCTATTGATCTATCTTAGATGGAGAGTGTTGAGGGGATGATTATTGGTGTACTCAGTGGAGCTGTTCTTGTCTTTCTGCTCATCATCATCATACTCGCAGGGTAAACTCACAGATATATAAATAGACAAATAGACAATTAGACCAATAGACAAATAGACACATATACAAATAGACAAATATACAGATAGACAAATATACATACAGACAAATATACAGATAGACAAATAGGTCAATAGACAAATAGGTCAATAGACAAATAGACAAATAGACAAATAGATAAATAGACAAATAGACAAATAAATAAATAGACAAACAGACAAAAATACAGATAGACAAATAGGCCAATAGACAAATAGACAAATATACAGATATACAAATAGACAAATAGACAAATATCTATTTATCTATCTATCTATCTATCTATCTGCCTATCTATCTACCTATCTATCTATCTATCTATCTATCTATATATCTATATATCTATATATCTATCTATCTATCTTCAATTTCTCTGATATTGTTGGAGTACAGTAAGGTACAGTACAGTACAGTACAAAATAGTATATTATAGTATAGTACAGTACAGTAAAAGCACAGTGCAGTACAGTGCAGTACAGTACAGTAAAAGTACGGTACAGTACAGTACAGTACAGTATAGTACAGTACAGTACAATACAGTACAGTACAGTAAAAGTACGGTACAGTACATTACAGTACAGTATAGTAAAGTACAGTGCAGTACAGTACAGTACAGTAAAAGTACGGTACAGTACAGTACAATTTCCACGTATCTTTACTCTGGTTGCAAACTATTCTGTCAGTGAATGAAGTTTAAGTATATAAAAGTGCGAAAAAGCCAATTAAATCTATTGGTCAAATATTTCAATTTCATACAGGGTGTCCCAACAGGGAAGAGAAACGACTTGACAGTCGTTTTTGATTTCTGATATTTAATGCATAGAAAAGAAAGTAAAAAAATGAGGCTGTACGTTTATGAGCTTTTTATTAAGTGTTCTACCTTTCTTAACCCCCGCTAGGTTACTTGAAAATTATGATCCCCCCCCCCCCCTCTAAGTCCCATGTTTGATGTCCAAATATGACAAATGATAAATCATCAGAAAGCTCTTTTGCTCTTCTTTTAGAATCTGCAAAAAAATTTGGAAACTTGCAAAATTTGAAACATTTTTTGCAAAATCCAGTTATATTGTAAAAATGGTTGAAAAAAAGAATTGTCCAAAAATGATAAAATATACATTTTTGAAAAGCCCTTGACCATGCCATTTCAAAATTTGCAAAATTTTATATAACCTGATGTGTAATTAAGAAAAACTAAAAATATTGAATAATTTGCAAAACTTTCTTTGCAAACATGTGCAATCCGTTTCCTTATGTCATAGGCTTTCCAAAAAGCAAAAAGTTATTAAAATCTGACAACTGAAAGTGGGTCAAAACAAAGATTTAGTTTGTTACAGGAAAAAGTAGCAATAAGGCAATGTGCCTGCAGCCTGGTTTTAGGCCTAAAGGGAGGGTTAAAAATTAACAAAGATATTAGACATAGGCATGAATTTCTATACAATACATTATATATTTTTACTCTATACAAAGTCATTGAAAGTGGCTCTACAGGATAAAATTGGGGGGGGGGGACTTTTTTGTCTTTTACTTTTTTAAAATTTATTATTGTGCATAAACTTAAAGTGAACGTAATAAACGAGATTTATTTACCCAAAGACTTTTCTATTTTGTGATTTACGGCATCACTGGGCTCTGAATTTAGAATCAAAACATAAACTTGCATTAGTTAAAAATATTTTTATTAAGCAAAATGTAGATTTGTTTACTTGATCAAAGAAAAAACAAATTGCATTTGTATGGCATTTTATTTTCTCACTTCCGGCTGCGAGTAGAATCAATTACTTTATTCAGCATATTTCTTTTTTTTAGGAAAGTGATTTCCCTTAAAAGAAGACTTAAGCGTTTAAAAAGGTGAGCAAAACTATCAAATTTGTATTTTGCACAATATTTACGATTTACGCAAATTATACATTATGAGCATATTAGATTAAATTGAATGATTAACTTCGCATACATAAAAAAAGCTTGAAATTCCGATCTTTTAACTTTTTTATTTAAAGGAATGGTCCTGCCGGAGATCCGTCCTATCTAGTTTGTTCAACTCTAGCTCCGGGTCCCAGCTATCCTTCTCCGAGTCCAACCTATCCTTCTCCAGGGTCAACGTACACCCAGTATCCGAACCCCGACTCGTCCTACCCTACTCTGGAGACCGGGAAACGTCCATATTCTCCCGCAAGCCCCAGGGATTAAGAAAATGCTTATTTTCATGGAAAAGTAAAAATTTCAACAGTTTTTTTGAGAATTTAACAATAGAGTTTCAAGTTTTGAGGTAATTTTTCTTGATGTATAAGGATTGAGTATGAGAGGGTAGGATTACTCAACTCTGTTGAAACAACTGATAACTGTGGAAGTATTATTGCTATACGGAACACGGATTCTCCTAACCTAGTCTTCTTAAACCCTAAACTCAAATCAGATCCATACGCAAGACTTTTAGGTTTGTATTTTAATAAAAAATATATATTGATGAACTGTAAAACTTTCAAGAAAGTTTTAGAGCATAATAAAAGTACAAAGAAAGATTTAAATAAAATGTCAGAGTTACAAACCTCTGAAAATAAAAGAACCGTTTCTTTCTTGGGACCCAACCAACATTGTAAAAAAAGCTCTGATTTAATTTGTTTGTTGCTAATTTATCTCTAAAATTTGTCGAGTAATAAACATTAGATGTTATTCATGATATAATTAGATATACGCATTACGCAAAGGATGTGAAACAAACCCAAATAATGTCTATTGTCGTAGAATGCGAAGGGACGGAAAAGTCTGATTCAATAGATTCCTCGGGTTCAGGTTCCAGAGGGGAATCAGGTAAATTCAAAAGATGTGAGCAAATATCGTCTTCTACATGTATACCACTTCTACAGGGTGTCCCACGAAACATGACAGTATGCAGGACGACTTGAATGTCGTCTTGATTTTTGATATAATTTGCTGCGTTTATTTGTCAACCTAATTTTAGAAGTAAATTTCTAGAGATAAAAATCACAAAATTTCCCTTGTCCTTCCATTTCCAAAATGTGGTCTGCCTTTTTTGTGCTTTCAATATTGCCCGAGATATGAAGAATTTCGTTCAGATTTCGACAATTTTACTTTTATTTAACAAAATTGAAATCTGAACCAAACTCTTTATATCTCCGGTAATATTGAAAGCACAAAAAAAGCAGACCACTTTTTGGAAATGCCAGGGCTAGGAGAATTATGTAATAATTGTTTCAAGAATCTTACATGTTAAAGTAGATAGAAGACTAAATGTCACAAATAAATTCAAATACCAAAGACGACTTTCAAGTCGTCTTGCTATTGTCATGTTTCTTGGGACACCCTGTAACTTCAAACTGAATTTGTTCAGGGTTTGAGTCTGGACGTGGAGGATCTTCAGGATCAGGAACAGGATACGATCCTATGGAACCTTTGGACTCCAGGAACATCAGAGAAACACGAGGGAACTCAGGGAACGACAGGGAAATTCAAACTTTACATAAATCCAACCAGCCCATGCTAGATTGCTAATCCTGGCTATTTGATTAATGTTAAAACAGGGTCAACACATTAGATGCATAAAGTTCGGACAAAAATTACAAGGAGTTGGGTCGGGTCTGAATTAGGTTCAATTCAGTTTAGCACAGTGAAAACCAGAAAACATAGGAATAGGAAGACAGCAGAATACTAGAAACTTATAAAATCACAAATCTAGTAAAAAGGGTCTGTTTACTTTGCACAGTTGCTGTGTTTCACGCTGATTGGCCTTTAAAATTTGATTCTAAAAGTCGTCCTCCTGTACAAGAATTTTCATGATATCACTGTATAAGAGAGTTCTGAAAAATTAAACATAATACCAACAATATTAACTTGAATATGTTCCAATGCAGTATTGATATTTTCTTGTTAAATTATATATTTGTCAAATTGAAGTGTTGAATTGTTTCCAGTTTGTCTGTATTAAGCAGTGCCTTGTCTACTCGGAGTACTTCCAACCCTAGTATTTTCAGGTGAATCACAGATTAGCAGGGACTTGATGCTTTTGTAAGGGGACACAGGTATTTATTACTATTATAATAAACTATTTTCAGTGTTGGATCCAGATCAAGAGAAACCCCGGTTTAAATGAGGATTAGTCCCTTTAAAAAATAAAAATGTTATTGTGTAAAATTAACCATCACATCTTTATTGGAAGTAATTTCGGAAATAGTCAATTTTAATATTTTTTATGTAAATTTTTTTTGAATTTAATTTACATGTTTTGAAAAGCAGTATTTTATTGTAAATTATGTTAACATTTGATGATTCGTTGAAGAATTTATTAGATTAACAGTTTATGTAAATAAATCATTCAGTGATAACCAGAAAATTCTGAAATTATAGGAAGACGACTTTTAGAATCAAGATATAACGTTATAAAGTTTAATGAGCATGAGATACAGCAATTGTGCAGCGTAAACAGACACAGACAAGTGTCTAGTAAAACTATTTGCTTTGTAACAATATCAAATTTACTTAAGTATTTATATTATGTCGTCTTTCTATTCCACTGCTTTTTAGTTATCAGTGTATGTATGTATGATAATTAGTTAAACTATAGATTTATGTATTTTAAATGTTGTAAAAAGTTCTTAAATAAATTTGAACAATTTGTCTGATGTTCGTTAATACTTTTGGTTAAGTATGGAACGCCCACCCCTCTATCTTTTTTGTCCTAGCACTCTCATTTTTGACACTATCCCCGTTAAATTTTTTTACTTTTAATGCATAGAAACTTGAAGAATTTTTTGTAAAAACTATTTTTTTTCAACGCATAGCTAGGGTAGGGTACAGGGCGGTAAAAAGTTCAAATCGTGTAAAAAACTCTAATATAGCCCATATATTTTTGTGACTTATGCTACAGACCTAAAAACTATAATTTTAAAAATCCCTTAAAAAGCGGATGTCACATCTTAATATTTATTTAAAGCAAAAAAATAATGTTTACATTTTTTTACCCTTTTTTGGCATATTCTTCAACCTTTTTATTAAGTTTGCTGGGGACGTGTAAGCAACTTTTTGTTGGTTGAACCTTGATTTTGGGGTAGCAGCAAAATCAAGTACAGGGTGCCCAGTCCCACGAAACATGACAGTTGGTGAAAAGTTTTGAATGATCTTCTTCTTTACATATATGTATATATATGAAAGACTATTTGCAGTTTGGTTCGATAAAAATTCTTTTACTCAGATGTATTTTACTTTAAAATAAATTTTACTATAATATAAGTTTATAAGTATATAATATCGTTTTTTAAAACTCAACTTAAAATACCACCAACTCTGTTCTTCAGTGCTATTACATTATCAAAGTTAACCAAATAATTATACAAAAAAGAGACAATTAGTTTCCTAAAAATTAAGTTTATGTCCCATTGTGTTGTTTGTAAAGAAAAAATTTATTTATTTTCACCTCATGAGCTCAAAATAGTATTTTTTTTTTAAATGTTAAAGGTAAAAAATATTTTGTAAACGTAGAAACTGAACTAAACCAACAAGTTTTTCCAACCGTTTGATTCAATTGTGTGTTCTCCAACATGGTGTTTAACGTGCAGAAGAGGGAGCGAAGCTGCCATGAGCCCTGCGAAATGACCTCAAGAGCCTCGTGATACTCAGAATTGCTTCGATGCCCCGCAAAACCGTCTCCGTGCCTCTTGCACTTTAATGCCTTCTTGCTGTGTTGTTTTTGCTTATTTTTATGGCAATTAACCAACCAAAAAAATCAAAATATATCTTATCATACCAAATTAACAATTTGTGATTTTCAAACTTTTTGTAAAAAGCGGAAACTGATCAAAAAATTTAGGAAATGAACCAAAATTTTGAGGAAACCGATCAACAAATTGAAATTGTTTAAGTTATTGTAAATAGCGGAAACAAATTTTTTAATTAGGAAACCAATAAAAACATTGAGATTTTTAAAGTTATAAAACGAAAGCGGATACGCGTCAAAAATATGAGGAAACGGGATCGACCTAAAATTTGAAGAAAGCTATAATCAAATTAAGTTTAAATAAAATTTTAAATGCGGAAACGGATTAAAAATATGGGGAAACGTACCAAAAATATTGGGAAACCCCTAAAAAATGTTGGGAAATCCCTCTAAAATAATTCATTGAAAATTAGCGGAAATGGATCTATAATTTTGATAAACCACTCAAAATCTGACTTTTGAGGGATCTTTCCGAAAAATTCAAAGAAATCGCGGAAATGCATCGGTTTCCGCTTAGATCAGTTCCCGTGTTTCGAGGCGTTTCCATGTCACCTATAACAGTGCAATGCAGGGGCGGATACAGGATTTAAGTGAGGGGGGGGGGGCAAGAGTTTTTAGGAACAAAAAAATGAATAATTAGGAACAAAAAATCGTGACGCAGGCGAAAATTTTTTTTGACTGAAAAGACTCAAAAAGAGTCAAAATTAATGACTAGACTAAAAAACTAGATTTTTAAATTTTAGGAACAAAATTAAAGGATTAGAACAGGAATTTATAGGAACAATTAAAAGCTTGTTCAGGAATTAGGAACAAAAATAAAGGATAAGGACAGGAATTTAGGAACAATTAAAAGATTGTTCAGGAATTAGGAACAAAAAATTAAAGGATTCGGGCCTAGGGATTTAGGAACAATAAAAAGATTGTTCAGGAATTAGGAACAAAAATAAAGGATTAGGACAGGGATTTAGGAACAATAAACAGAATTGTTCAGGAATTAGGATCCAAAAATATAGGATTAGGACAGGGATTTAAGGTGGGTCGGACACAGGAACAGGAACAATAATAGGAACATTAGCAATTTAAGAACTTAAAAAGAAATTACTAGTTATACTTAAATGCATGATAATTAGGAACAATATTACAATTTTGATAAGTGAGTATTGATTAAGGAACATTATACTAGATATGAACAATATTATAACTTAAGTCTAGTTTCTTAGAAATTTCTAATTCTAAAGTTATCGTTAACAATAACATTTATCAAATTGGGAACATTTTTTGCCTCCAAATCTCAGGGGGGGGAATGTCCCCCGCCCCCCCTTGTATCCGCCCCTGGTGCAATGCAATGCAATTTAGAATTTGTAAAGTAATGATGAATTGCATGAAGAAGTAAAATACAAGCAGATGTAATATTAAATGAGCCCCCCCCCCATGAGTTCCCCCCCTCGTACGCCACTGAAAGAATACAAAGCCTGTATAGATTTCTTCCCGCCTCAAATTTTACGGATTTTGTGATGAAAATACAGCGTTCTTTACTGTTATGAATTCTAGGTAAAAAAATAGACTACGTAGAATCAGAAATATTTTAAGCTTTATTAATTCACGCCGTAAATTCTACGCAGTTTATTCGCACAATGCCGCTGATTTCTCTTTAACAAAAATTTTCAGTCTCTCTCTAAACTTGGATCATATGGCACCTTTAACGAATAACGAATCATGAATCATGATTATTCGTAAAACTAGCCGGTCATAATTTCTTGGTTCCTAAGATTAATTAGTGTTTAGACTTTTGGCCCTTTTTCATTTGTTTTATTAAACTTAAAATACTCTATGTGAAGTATGTAATTATTTTAATTTTAATGAAATTTTGACAGAAACTTCAAAAACTAAGATAAATTAAAATCGTTCTCTAGGAAATTACCTATGTTTGGGGTTTTGGACGGGAGTTAAAAAAGGTCAAAGGTTGGGGGTGCTAGACTGCACCTGTGCGATTTTGCGTATTTTATTTAGTATAACGTATATGTTAATAGAGAAACGTATTTTGTATTACAGAGCAATATGTGAATGTATCGGAATCGGAATCCAAAGATGATAATGCTGACCAGTAATTAATATAACCATATAATCTCAGTATAAGCTTTATCAAATATAGAACACCATTTTCTGCAATGCCTTGGCAACCATTCCGAAGAAAAAATAAGCACAAACCACTACGGGATGACGAAATGGAAACCAGTTTCGATGATATTCTCTCTAGAAGTATGTCAGATGGAAGTCTTGTCAGGTATACGGCGTAAGAAATTTATAAGTAGATTTTGGAGCTTTCCTTAAAAATCATAATTTTATCCTGACCAAGAAAATTGTCATTAGTTTTCGCACGACTGGAGTACATACATAAAAGTGTCACTGTTATTTAAATTTATGAACTTACACCCCTCCATCGCCCCCCCATTCTATCAATTTCTGGACCGAGCGCTGCGACTATGACAGTCTTACGGGGGGGGGGGGGCGCTGCGGCTAGGACTGGATAGGGGTCAACCAGCGCAACAAGGATAGGCTATGGGGCCACATGTCCAACTTTGACCATTTGTAGCATATGAGCTTTATGTACAAAATTGATAGGGGGGAGGGGCAAAAAGTGTTTTTTAAGAAATTTCCATATTTACTGTTAATAACTCTATTTTAGGGCTCCCAGTGAAAGGTTTCTCTTGTCAAGTCTTTCTCAAGGAATGTGTTCATTCTCTTCGATTATATATCTCTCCGGCTTTGGTCTCAAATTCTAATTGAATTCCTTATCTTCTTCTTTAAAATTAAGTAAAGTCGTAAAATCTATAGTTAGCAAGTTAATTTCTAATGTGAAAAATTTATGATACAATGAACATATTGACCTGAACAGGACGAAGCTACGGAACCTGCTCTGGAAGTACGAACCTCTGGACATCCTTCTCCGAGCACACTGTACAGCAGGGGGATACAATTGCAGGACTTTCACTTAGGTACAACCCGATCCTGATATTCAATGATTTGTATCATATCCGACCAAAATATAGTCCTACTCTTTAAGGATACTAGAGTTTTAAATTTATCTTAAATGACCGCCCACAGTTACATCGATGCTCTTTACATCTTTAATCATAGCAGTATCATTAAATGAAGCTACGATGTTGAAGGTGCTGCAATCGTTGTCAAAATTTGGTAATGGCATTTTTTTTCTTTGCATACATTCCTTCCTTCTCACTTTCCCCAATCCTCATGTATGTATGTATGTAGATCATTAAAAGATTTTTTATTGTAGACTTGTACTATAAGCTATTAAACATATCGATTTTTACTAGACCACATGTTTGAGATGACAGTTATATTTTATTGTCTCAAAAACCTCAAATGCATCCTGATGGATTTATTTTTCTTTTGTTCCAGAACTATTTAAAAGTTCCCTAAAATATAGTGATAGATATTCAGTATTCACATTATTTTTCAGGTTTAATTTGACAATCCAGGATATAAAACTTGCAAATAAGTTGTGGACAAACGAAGATCTTTGGCCGGGCAGAATCATTAAAATTCCTCAATTAGAGGTTAGTGGCGAATTTTGTTGCTGCATTTATATTCTTGTAAGATAAAATATACATTTTAAAATCAGAATCTTGAGGTGAAGGACATGATAAGTGTGAATTAAAGTTAACATTTTTGATTTTCTCACAAAAAAAATTTATTTTCTTTTAAAGTTAGTAAGGTATAGAAAAACGCAAAGAAAATAATTTTTGTGGAATTGTTTCCCTTTCTATTTCCAGAAATAATTTTTCCCATGCGAATTTGAAAAATCAAAAGTTGGAGTAAGAAATTAATAAAGAAATGATAATTTTTATTTTGTTTTTACCAATATTGTTTAGACCGGAAACACCAGCCTTGATCTATCCAGTAGCGGGGGAAGTGACACCATGTCAACCGGAAGTGGGACAAGTTCTAGAAGTTCAAGCAGACGACTCTCATCTCATGATACCATGCTCGTCTCAAGGTAGACAAATCACAAAACATAAATAATAAATATTTTTCTATATGATTATTATTATCATTATTTTTATTATTACACTGCAAGCCGTCATTCAATACAGCTCCTATCCACTATAGCGAATCTTGGGATAATGCCCCACATGTGAAAAGTAGAAATTTTAGAAATTTTAAGTAAATTACTGTTTTCAATATTTGTAATGTTTTTAAAATGATTATGATCATGTTACATTATTTTTTATATATATTTTCAGTGCTACAAGTTCTCCATACGCAAAACCATCTAGTACCACTAGTACTTCACTAGTTAAAGGTAATAAACTAGATTTTTAATTAATTTTGATGAAAATATTAATGGTTTTATTATTATAACTTAGGGATCTCAAGTCCGGCTAGACGAGCATCTCTAGAAGAATTACAGGTTAATAAAATTTTAATTTGTTTAAAGATAATTTTATTTCTTTGGTTGGTTGGTTGGTTGGTTGGTTGGTTGGTTGGTTGGTTAGGTGGGTGGGTATGTGGTGGTTAGTTGGTTGGTGGTTAGTTGGTTGGTGGTTAGTTGGTTGGGTAGTTGGTTAGTTAATTGATTAGTTGTTTGGGTGGTTAGTTGGTTGTGTGATAATTTGTCTGGGTGGTTAGTTGGTTGTGTGATTAGTTGTTTGGGTGGTTAGTTGGTTATGTGATTAGTTGGTTGGGCGGTTAGTTGGTTGTGTGATCAGTTGTCTGGGTGGTTAGTTGGTTGTGTGATTAGTTGTTTGGGTGGTTAGTTGGTTTTGTGATTAGTTTTTTGGGCGGTTAGTTGATTGTGTGATTAGTTTGTTGGGCGGTTAGTTGGTTGGGCGTTTAGTTTGTTGGGCTGTTAGTTAGTTGGGTTTTTGGATTGTTTTTGGATATTTCTTTCTCTTTATTTCTGAATGGTGATATTATTACTTTCCCCAGTTGCTTAAGGGAAGAGAAAAAACATGATGTCCTCAATAAAATATTTAAAAACTTTCCTCATTGCCTATGGGGAAAAGAAACTAATTATTTTAGAAAAGTTTCAGTTATTTACTTTAATCGTGAGTCTCATTTCACAATTGTATTTTAAGTTCTAAATGAAAGATAAAAAGAATATTTCAGAACCTTTACTGTAGCACAGACATAAACTGTTTGGACTTCAAAAAATCTCAGGGGATTCGTGTTTTTGACCTTTTTAGGGCACCAAAATATAAAAAAATTATCCACAAGGGGGGCTTCCCCCCCCTGCAACCCCTCGTCTCCCAGAGCAAATTTCTTTCAGTTTTGCGCAGGCTGCGTCACCCTGTCAAAAAATAAACCTGATGTTTTGGTTCTGACTTTGGGAAAAAAAAGGAAGGTGGGGGGTGAGGAATCTCAGAAGTAATCTACACCCATGACCCTGTGTAAGTGGGTAAAAGTGTTGCAAAAATGACTTAATGACTTTAAATTAAAGATAGCAATCAAGGTGAGTGGTGCAAAATGATTTAATAATGTTAAAATAAGTGATTTAGAGGCAAAATAGCAAGTTTGCGATTAAAAACCGAAAAAAAACTGTTTCCCTTCAGGGAAGGAAATTTTGGACAATAATTCCAGGGGGAAACAATTCAATTTCTAGTAAGAATATACTCCCCTGTCAGGTTAGTTGGTTTGGTGGTTAGTTGGTTGGATGTTTAAATAATTGGGTAGTAGTTGGTTTGGGGGTTACTGGTGAGTTGATTGGGTGGTAAGTTGGTTTGGTTGTTAGTTGGTTGGACGTTTAAATAATTGGGTAGTAGTTGGTTTGGGGGTTACTGGTGAGTTGATTTGGAGGTTAGTTGGTTGAGATGTTGGTTGTGTGGTTGAATGGTTTCGGGATTAGTTAATGATGGTTAGTTGGTTGTGTAATTAAATGGTTGTGTGATTAGATAGCTTTGAGGGTTAGCTAATTGGTTGGTTTGGTTAACTAATCACTATATCATTCTTAACATACATTTATTTAGGACTTTCTCTCTAAAATGGATTCCAATATTGCCAGCAGTAAAAGGGCTACCATCAGTATGATAAGAAAGTCTGATCTGTCGGAGAAGGGGGGTGCAGCAGGCCTCGCGCCCCTTCAGGGGACGTCTGTCCTACCTGTGCAAGGGGTGCAGGGGGTGACGGTGGTGTCTAATAATAACACTAAACCAAACCAGAACCATATCTGCTAGTAGTCTGTAGACAACAGTACTCAATATTTTACTCAAATATTATTTCTTAGTTTTCACAATTTACATTTATTGGTTTAGGACATTTATTATCATAATTTTTAGTTTGTCTAGAATTAATCATATAATTCCTGGGGTCGACACTTTTGTTCTGGTTTTCCTTCAGAAATCACCGAATTGTATATCTGTATCTATTCTGGTCCAATGGGATAATTAAGTTAGTGTCTTACGGATAACTTTTAAGGTTCGGACAACCAAAACCCAATATATATTCCGGCCAATGCAATGATAGATCGCGAAAATACGAGTCAGTTGGTGTTCGCAGATTAAGCTAAATTAGATTTAAAATATGGATATCGAGTCCATGAGTTGTAGATTAGCGCTATCTGGAACAAAAGATCCGACCTCTGTTCTTAAATTTTGTTTGCATACATATCTAGTAAATAGTTCATAATTTCCTCTAAAATTTGTATTCTATAATTTTAGTAACAATGTCTTCTTCAAAGTTTATATTTATATTTTTGTGATGAATTGATAAATCTTTAAATATTTTGTATTTACAGTGTAAATGTTGGTTAAATTTTGTATTAATGTTGTAATATATGAAACTAAAGTTTAGTCATGTATTGTTTATATCTATATGTATTTTATATTAATTCGGTTATCTTAGTTTTTTTTTATTAGTTTAGAATATTCAGTTTTTTATTTTATTATTATCGTGGTTTTATTAAAAGTATTTTTTTTTTGGCAAAGCAATATTTCTGACATAAACACATTATTAGAATATTCAAGGGGAAATAATACTCTGGGTTGTCAAATGTTTTTCTTCTTTTTCGGTTGTTATTTTTTCAGTATTAGTTTCATGAAACCTTTTAGCTGACTTCTTTAAAATGTCTTCAGTTGTCATTTGTACAAACATTCAAGTAAGATTGCTGATTTTTTATGTTTAATTTAATTGCATTTGATGAAACAAAATTTACTTTTAGCTAAATATTGCCCAAATTTGATTAAATATGACTTGTCATTAAATTCATTTATAAACAATAAAAAATTGAAATTTTTTCTTCTTCCATTTTCTGTTTAAATCCTTAACACTTAGACCCCTTTAAAATGTAAATGATACTAAAATAATAATTCCCCAACCCTTTTTTAGTCATCTTTTTATTTAAAGATAAAATGTACAGGCGCAAGTTGACCGCACTCAGCTACGCAGCTGCTGACACGTTTTCATCAAGCTCTCAGGAATTTAGATATTTCTTTTATTTTTACATATAAGTTTATGCTGGACCAAATAATGGTGTACTATACCTGTTCTAAAAAAGAAGTTTTTTTTGGTTAAATCCAATCAAGATTTTTTATTTCCGAAAAATTGTTGCAAAACGTATTTGGTTCTATTTTCTCTTGGGGTTACAACTAAAATATCACCCTAGCTGTATTGATTTAGTTAAAAAGTGTTAATATTTATAATCATATGATACGTTAATATCCTTTTCTAGGGCATAAATTATCTAAAACTCTACGATACGCTCTGGCTAAAATCTTATTAAAAAGTCTTGAACCCTCTCGTAAAAGAATATCTTTTGGCTCAAAAAATTAATACCTTGCTCTAATTATAGTTTTTGATGATTTGCTATTCATGTGTTTAGATGACTCAGTTCTTCTATTTAAAATCCAATAATTTAACAAAGAAAATTTAAAAATTAATATTTAAATCAGACCGAATATAGAACTCTGGTGTTATGGTTAGAGGTGAATCTATTTTTTTAATGGAATGATTTAATCTTGTTTCAGATAATTTATTAAGTCATCATATTCCTAAATAAGAGTTTTTTCTTCAACTATTCTTAAACCAGTTTCGCATTGGTTCTGAGACTCTACCAACTGTAGCTCTCCCTTGTTCTGTTTTGACCATAACAGGTTTAAGATCTTTGAATAAAAAAATACACCATCTTTATTCATTCTTCAAGGTTAAGAAGTCTCATTAAAAAGTTTCCAGCTCAGATGAGACTTAACATCCAAGATTTGAGGACGATTGTTTTATCTTGAATTTCAATAATTACGTCATTGGTTTTAAAACATAAGCTTTATTTTAATATTTTATTTAAATCTAGCTTAATTTACTTTTAAGAGTCCTTTAAATCAGAGAAAAATAATGACGACTTGAAAATTAAAATCACTGTTCTAACAAGTATACAGAGAAGCCCTACATATGTTTGCATTTAAGATGACCCAAACTATTTAAGACATACAAACTAATTTGTGAACTGTTTTTAATATGACACTTAGTAATTAGGTTTTAAATTGTGTGCAGCGTCGATCAAAGAGGACTTTAAGTCGTCACATTATTGTCAAGTTTAATAACAAGGATACAAATTAACTTGATGTTCCAGGATCAGAAAATCCGCCATTATAAGATAGATGACCGGAAAGGATTAAGAGATATCAACGCTGAATCTTGGCCTCAAGCTTTTAATGATTATCTCACAGAACTAGGGTGCACTGTTGTAAGTAGTTTTATTAATGAGATATTAATTAATTTAATTTAAAAAAAAAACTTAACTCAACTATATATCCCTATATATTTGCACCCTGATGTCGTAGATCTTCAAACTGAATTTTGATAGATCAAATATCATGGGGTTACAACAGTTCTTTTATTTAGTTACAAAAGTCTCCTGAAGAAATCCTGGATTGGTTGATAGGGTTTGCGGTCAGGTAAACTGATTGATTAACTGTTAACATGTTTGTTAGTTTGATTGATTTTATGTCTGGGTGGCTGAAACTGATTGATTGATTGTTAACTTGTTCGACTGATTGAGTGATTGAATATCTGGGTGGCTGAAACTGATTGATTGATTGTTAACTTGTTCGACTGATTCTGGGTGGCTGAAACTGATTGATTGATTGTTAACTTGTTTGACTGATTGATTGATTGAATATCTGGGTGGCTAAAACTGATTGATTGATTGCTAACTATAAAAAATAATGACTTTAGGCTTGTGTTCGGGGATGATGCGGAACAATATAGAAAATACAATTCAGAGTTTATTTCCAATCTCCGGGCGGATCAGGTAAAGAGAGAGGGACTTATTATCGCATTTCTTTTGGGATATTTACCTAGATTAACCCTTCACATGGATATTTGGTAGAATTAAAAACCGTTTTTATGATACTTATTTCTTAGCATGTATACTTCCAATCAGGATTATAACATTTTCTTGAAAATCCTCAAAAATTATTTTTGAGGATGGTAATATGTTGAAAATACCTTGAAGTTTCCATTTCTGATTTTTAAAGGTAAAGAATATTTACCCTTGTTATTTTAACTCCATTATAATGTGTAAAATTAACTCTTGAGAAATTATGCCTATGGTGCAAAAAAAAAAAATTGGCATTTCTTAGGATTTAAATGTATTCTCCAAAAATAAATGGCGCACTCTAAATAATCTATTTAATATTAAATTCAGCCTAGATTAGTTTCCAGCAACCCCTTGGATAATCTTGACTTTACAGCTCCTGAGTTCAAGGCTGGGGTAGAGAACCTTGCAGACTTTCTTCAAGTCACAAAGGTAACTGATTTCAGGATTTCCTATCTTTCTTTTAAATATTACCTGGACCTTTGTTGGGTTTCTTACATCAGGGACCAGATTTAATGAAAAGTGAGAAGTAGTTGAACCGCGCAGACGTGGTTTATTTACTTCTTTTGTGCGCCGGTTCAAGCTGAATAGAATTGGTTGAATTGTGTAAATTCATTAAGTCTATTCCAGCTACCACTTTTTCTTAGTGCATAGTGTGAAAATGATATTTCAAATATTTGAATTTTTTCACTAGTTTTATTTTTTTTTATGCTAAAAAATGCCAATTCTGTCCAGATTTAAGAACACTAACAGACTAATAGACAGACAAGACAAATATATAGTCATATTCCGTTCACCACACACATTTTGGAATTATAGAATGGACGTAAAGACAACCCTAGGAGTCTGATTTGATTTGATTTTACATGATACATGTAAGTTCCTCATTTTAGGATATCATAATTCAGGAATAACCTTGTTTGTTTATCTTTTGAATGAATAATCATTGAAATCTACAAAATTACTAATTTTTGAATTAATATTTTCAGCATCCGGACCACCTAGTAACCTTGCAGGCAATATGTAAATTAGTCTCTAGGCGTCTCAGTTCTAAAGCAATACAAAATCCTAAATCAGTAGTCCCAGAGGTAATCTATCTAGTCAATTCAAAGGGAATGTTTTCTCAATCTAATGGGGTTAGAGACAGGGAAAATATTTTTTTAACGGGAAAATAGCCATGATTTTAAGATATAATCTCCATCTATGGAGTGGCATGTAAGACTCACATCTGTACCATTAAACATAACTTTAAGTGACCCTTCATCTATGGATTGGCATGTAAGACTCAATCTCACATCTGTACCATTAAACATAACTTTAAGTGACCCTTCATCTATGGATTGGCATGTAAGACTCAATTCAGTACCATTGTACGATCAAGGATGAATAAGATATTTATGTTTTTAACTCTTAAATTGATTATTTTCTCCTTTCGTTTCCCTTTAAAAGTGAATTGTGGATATTTTCTACAGAAGGATCTTCCCTGAACAATTTTATTAGCTGATAAGCGACAATAGCTTCCACATGATTAATCAGCTAAAAGTTTTAAGGGCAATGTTCTGAATCAGGCATACCATTGCTACTCTAGCGTAGTGTAGAGTCACCTAATATTACAACGGAAGTCCCTTGAAGTTTCCCGTTGTTGGGGCTTCTTTTGTTTCTATCAAACATCAATCTTAAGAAGATTTGAATATGCAACGTATATCATGATTGCTGGATAAAATCAGGTTTCTGTGGTTGCGCACTCTGGCACTCTTACGCAAGCAGTGTAGGTATTTGAAAAATAATTTGTAGACAACGTGGTTCAACATTTTTAAATACGTATCTCGTTCAATATTAACAGATTCAATCCTCTTATAATCTTATAAATAAGCATCTCACAATGTAATTAGTTGTTCCACATTTTCAAATAAGCATCTTACAATGTAATTATGTTGCTCAACATTTTTGAATAAGCATCTTACAATGTAATTATCAACATTTTTAAATAAGCATCTCCCAATGTAATTAGTTGTTCCACATTTTCAAATAAGCATCTTACAATGTAATTATGTTGCTCAACATTTTTGAATAAGCATCTTACAATGTAATTATTTGTTCAACATTTTTAAATAAGCATCTCCCAATGTAATTAGTTGTTCCACATTTTTAAATAAGCATCTTACAATGTAATTATGTTGCTCAACATTTTTGAATAAGCATCTCACAATGTAATTAGTTGTTCAACATTTTTAAATAAGCATCTCACAATGTAATTAGTTGTTTAACATTTTTAAATAAGCATCTCACAATTTAATTTTTCATAGTTTTCTAAAATTGATAAGAAAGTGACGCCATTTTAATGAAAAAAGATTATTGTTTTAGGGTCAAGCATTTAATTATAAAGATGATAGTCTTGGTCTCCTGGGAACAGGAGATCATAAAGTTGACGACGCGGCAAAGATTCTCCGACTTCTGTACATCAATGATCTCAGGTTAGACGACAAAATTGGAAAATAAAAAATTGGGGATCAGAGATAAAATTTTACAAACAATATATGTGTTTAAAGGGACTGTCACTTATTTGGAAATTCTAAACGATAAGTCTGCTTTTTCTACGGCCACAGTTATCGTTGAAAAGTAAAATAATGCCAATAAATATCTAATAGAGTATTTAGTTTACTCTAAAAATATCCAATTAAGTGAAAGGTCCCTTTAACTTCTGAATGATTTTGCTACTTCTATTTAAGTTCTTTAATCTCATTAGTAGAAACTTAATCTTTCCTGACTTTCTGGATGTTTACATTTAAAAATTAAAAATTTTTTTTTACATTTTTTGGGGGGAAATGCAGAAGCTCTTTGAAACTTCAGTGACAATACTGAATTTATCATGTTCTCTGAAAAAACACCGACTTGTAAACTATTTTTATCTTCACGCGATTGAGAATCGTTCAATTCTTTATTAATACTGAAACTATTTATTATAGAGAACTGCAGACCAGGATTAACGAGGCTATCGTGTCTGTGCAAGCTGTAACTGCAAACCCTAAAACGGATACAAGGCTAGGGAAGGTCGGCCGGTAATATCGGTCATCGAGGCGGATGATCTTGGCCGAAAATCTTATTCCACAAAAACCGGTTTGGTTCCAGCCCGTCCTGCAACCTTTTTAATTTTAAGAAATACATTTTCTTATTTTTAATGAAATCTTAACATACATGTGATAATATAAAGAATCTAATGTATTCAGTTGTTCAGTTGTTCAGTTGTTCAGTTGTTCAGTTGTTCAGTTGTTCAGTTGTTCAGTATACATTTTTATCATTCCTAAATTACTCCTTTTCTAATGTTTTAGATTGGTAAAATTATCCTAGTCTATATTTAAGTCCCATTATTATTGCAGTACGATCTCAAAATTTAACAAACATTTGTTTCGTAAAATTTTATCAACAAATATTTTTTACTTTTCAGATAAGATGGTATCGTGGAACCACAAGGAGCTGGTGACACTCCTGAGTATCCTGGAGCCTGACATGGTGGAAAAGCACTCCTTGGAGAAGTAAGTCAAAGAGTAGATCGATCTTTTGAGATCTTCAGCTTTAAATATTTAGAATTTGTGGACAGGATTTGAAGTACATCGTGATACACTACGCATCACTAGCAACTTATATTTTTATGATACAATTCTACAAGCCATCTTATTATTTTAAGTTTTTAAATGTAATTTTCTTTGAATAGATCAATAAACCTGGTCTCAAGATATCTTTAATTTTTCTACAAATTTTCTCCGGAACCTTGGCCTAAGCTGAACCTTTTTCTAAATCTTCCCTTAAACCTTCACCTATATTCTGAACCTTAGCTGAGCTCAAACATTAATCTTCTCCGGAACCTTGGCCTAAGCTGAACCTTTTTCTAAATCTTCCCTTAAACCTTCACCTATATTCAGAACCTTAGCTGAGCTCAAACATTAATCTTCTCCGGAACCTTGGCCTAAGCTGAACCTTTTTCTAAATCTTCCCTTAAACCTTCACCTATATTCTGAACCTTAGCTGAGCTCAAACATTAATCTTCTCCAGAACCTTGGCCTAAGCTGAACCTTTTTCTAAATCTTCCCTTAAACCTTCACCTATATTCTGAACCTTAGCTGAGCTCAAACATTTTCTTCTTCCAAATTTTGTTTACAATTCACCTTCCTCTAACTCTAGGGCAAATTACTTATTGATAAGTCTAAAGCTTTAAAATTCATTTTCCTTCTCTTTTCATTTATTCCATTGTCGATTTTTTCTTCAGTTTTAACTTCACTTAGTCCTCAAACTATTTTTAGATGTTTAACTTTATTTTAAACTCCATTTAATAACCACTTGTTAACGGCTGATCCTTTCATTTCTGATTGAAATATTCGAATGTTTAGTTTATGCAATCGTCTTCATCAAGCATTCAATAAGCAGGAACATTTTAAGGTATGTAAGAAAATATTGCAGTAAGCGTTAGGATTTGAAAAATTAAGGGGGGGGGGGTCAAAACGGTATTTTATGAAAATATTCAACATTTAGCCGATGAATAAATTATAGATTATATTTCTACAGAACTTAACAAAAGTACAAAAACTAGATTCATTTGTATTAACTTAGTAAATGAGAAAAATAAATAATAAATAAATAAAAAAGGTTGGAACGGCCCTGGTGACCCTGCTGCAGCACTCTGACCTACTTCCTAAACCAGCACAGAAACTTGCTGCAATCACATTTCTCTTTGATATGTATAAGGAAAAAACAAAACCACTTTAAACTCAACTAAACATTTCCGGCATTTTCTGTAAAAAAAAAAATTCGCCGAGATTTAATTTTTCATATTATATGATTTGTCTTATTTCTAAAGTTTCCAAAATCAATTTAAATCCGGCATATGTTCACAGAAGTTTGAATCTATCATGCAAATGTTGTAGTCACTGTTAACCTACAGCGGGACCCATAAAACTATGGAAAAATTGGTAGAATCGAGTAAAAATTTACAATAGTTCAATGAACCTGAAACAACGAAATGTTATATTGCCAACTTTTATAGAAATATTTTTATCAATTTTATAGTTCCCGGAGGTTGAGTTTAATGTGATCTGTTTGTGATGATCAGACGGAACCAGTTTCTATTAATCCTTTTGCTCCAGTATTTATTCATCTACTCAATACTGCAGACAGTTTTGATGCAGGAGATGCAAGGTAAAAGATTGGAAAACTTTTCCATCCCCCCTTTTCTAGAATTCACATTTTTTCGAATTTGTTGAAATTTTTCGTTTTTGTGTAGCCAAAGAAGAGAGCGGCTATGTAGCATATTTGAGCTGAAAGTACAGTGTTGTGGAAAAAACTTAAGGACTCATTTGATACCAATGCGACATTTGTACCGTGTACACTGTACATTGTACAATTCATAAATAAGAGCGTAAAGTCGTTTGTAATATTACACCATTTGTTTCAGCCAGCAGAAGAACCGTTTTTTACCATTATTTAATAAACCGGTCTTTCACATTAACTTTGAATAACTTTTTATTTAATTAATTGTGGCAATACTTATGAAATATTTTTCACAACACGTACAAAATACATCTATAATCTATATAATAAAATAAATATATGTTGTCTAAAACCGCCCAAACAGCTGGACCGATTGGACTGATTTTTTTTTGTGGACACTCATGGGTGGCCGGTGGGNGAATTCAAAATTTTTTTTCAAATGGATTTTTTTTAAAAACATTTTTTCCAATATTAAAAAAAAATTCTAAATTTTTTATGTGCAACTCCGGGCCCTTCAGCTAGTATTTTATAAGTTTAAAAATTTATAACTTTAGGATTAATGTCCCGGGGACGTTTATTTCTCATTCATCTTTTTCAAATATTCTCTATCTTAGATAAATAAGCATTTGACAGAAAAAAACTTTTGTTAGATGAAATATAAATTAAGAAAATATTTTTTATTAATTAATCCCTTTGAAGGTATAGACAGCTACCTGCCTTGAAACCCTCCGAACGACAGTTTTTGACCCAGCTTGTTGCTGGGCAAGGGAAGGATTTTCTTAAGAAAAGCCCAGGAACTATCTGTAAAGCAGACACGGTCTCCGTTCCACAGGTTAGGATTACGGAATCACGAGGACCAGAATTACCGACTTATAAACGAATTGAATAAGATTAACCTTTTCTGTCCCTCTATAGCAGATCAACCGATCTCTTTTTGGCCAAACCCTGAATATTCGATCCATCAAAGATCGATGAAAAATCGAAAAATTCCGAGATTTGACTTATTAGAAATCAGTCAATCTTCCCCAGTCGTTAATCATTCTGACCCCTTCTTTATTGCACAGGATTGTCCTTGAAAGGTACTACGACGTAATATTAAGTGAACCTCCGTTAAACGGTTTACAGGTTCGATTAACGGTGCTTTTATAAATAAAAGGGACTTTCGAATTTATACAGCAGAGAGTAGTGCGGAAATTCGGAGATTTTACATCTTTTAAAGTCAGAAAATAGATGATATCTTTTTCATTGTTATTCTGGTATAAGGCTGAAAGGTACCGAACCGATGTCAATCTCCCGCATATTGCTTTAAATTGAGGGTCACTTTAAAATCTCTTTGATGATAATAATGGTAATAATAAGTTCCCGGGTTTTCCCCAGCTTAATCTATAATCTATTTACTCAATACTCATTACTTTTTGAGAAAGCTTATTTTTTGAGAAAGCTTTAAATCAATATTTTCAACATCAATGCTGAGCTAGAACCTGTTCAGGTTGATCTGACCGGCGTCCAACTATCTTTAGCAGAGCGACAATCAGAGCTCCCGCACACAGCCCGGTCAGCGGTCTCAGGGGTTATACCTGACCCTAAAATTCAGGTAGTTTAAACGCTATATAAATATAACTAAGGACCAAAAAATCAAGAATAACTTTTATGATTGAATATTGAATAACATGAAAATCACATAATTCTTGGAAATCTAAATAATTCTTTGCAGCAATAAACATGAGGCAATAACACAGCCTCGAGCGAAACATCATAAACATATTTTTTTCAAAATACTTCGCCGTCTTCTGAAGTTTGTACTGAATTTGATTTATAAATAAGTAAATTTTGTTTTTTAAATTTAACATTTTCGTTAAAAATCTTTTCTTGTTTACAAAATCTTAGCTAAAGATGCATCATACATATTTGTTTACATAATACTGCGTAACATTTTCAAGTTGGTGTTGAATTTTTATTTTATCAAAAACCAAAAAATAGTTTTGGTTTTTAAATTTAAACTTTAAACCTTCTCGTTAAAAAAAAACTCTTTTTCTTGATAACAATATCTTGGCTTATTTGATTATTTTGTTATATTTGCGTGGGATATCTATGCCTGAATAACCTGTGTTTTGTTAGGATCCGGACTGCCTTGAGTTAGCTGCGCTTCAGAAAAGAACTATTGAAGAGTTATTAATCGGACAGGATCCTCCAGCAAACAAAACTATTAAACCAGAGTTTCTGAGGCTAGCTCCACCTCTTTTTCTCAGGTTGGGATTTTGGGAAGAGAAGGGGGGGGGGGACAAGGAGAAAGGAGAGATTTTTTCTACTGCTACAGTAAACTTATTTATTTCATTCCTAAACCCTTTCATATACAATAAAAAGACTTAAGTTATGAAGAATTTACAAATTTCAACCATTAGATGACTGTATCCAAAGGGTTGCACTCTCATTCTTTGCGGGTTACTTCACAGTGGATAATTTCTTTCTAACTTTTGAATTTTCTCGATTTTAGGCAAAAAAGAATTTAACGGTTAATTTATTGTTTTTTTTTTTTTGATGGAATTATGATGTTTGGTATAGGGAGCATGAGATGATATGGCAGGATCCTGTAGATTACGGATATATAACATATGAATACGACATCACAATGCTGGAAAACGAAGACATTGGCAGTGAAGCTAAGAAATTAACTTGCAGAGCTTGTAAGGTACTTTTTCATGTTTTTATTTAGAGACACGAAGTAAAATCTGGTTTTAGAAAATCGTGGTCGGTTATTCTTCACGTTACGGTAATGCTTTCTATTCTAAAGTTTTCATTTTTAGATTACGAGCTCTTTAAAATATTTAAGATAAGGTTCGGTTTGTGAACACAGCATACAATCAACACCTCTTTGACTTCATATTTCATCTGCCATTTTTTTTTTCATGTTAAACATTTTTGAAGTATTTTTTTTTGTATGGTTTCAATAAAAAGAGCTTTCCTTTTTGCGGTAATTGCACGGTTATTTCAGAAAGAAAAATATTCTGTTCAATGGCTGAAGGCTTTATTATCTCTACAATCCATTTGTTTCGTGTGCAAACCCCTTTCAAGATGTAAGAGACAAAGTTTTTACTTTAAAAATAAGAAATTTAATTTCGTAATTAATAAATATTTCTATTTAGAATATATTAACTCTCGGAGATCAGCAGAAATTACTATTGGAGTTGGAGAGAGATCCATCGGTGGTCACAAAATCTTAACATACATGTGATAATATAAAGAATCTAATGTATTCAGTTGTTCAGTTGTTCAGTTGTTCAGTTGTTCAGTTGTTCAGTTGTTCAGTTGTTCAGTATACATTTTTATCATTCCTAAATTACTCCTTTTCTAATGTTTTAGATTGGTAAAATTATCCTAGTCTATATTTAAGTCCCATTATTATTGCAGTACGATCTCAAAATTTAACAAACATTTGTTTCGTAAAATTTTATCAACAAATATTTTTTACTTTTCAGATAAGATGGTATCGTGGAACCACAAGGAGCTGGT